TTTTTTTTTTTTTTTTTTTTTATGTCTGTTACCACTTTTTCTCAGCTCTCACCGAACGGATTTCTTTCAATGATACATCAAAAGAACACAAATCGTATCTAGTCTAAGACGTTACCCTCAAAAATTGAAAAAATGCCCTCATTCCCCGTAAATGGAGGAAACCTCCAAAAAATTACAAATTTAAAAATCGTTAATTTTCGAAATTTTTTCAATTTTTTTACTTAAAACTGCCTTAACTTTTTCATAAATGAACAAATCAATATAAATTTTTTTTTTATAGATGCTTGATGTCTTTACCTATCATTTGATATATTTTTTTTTATAAATTTGACCCTTCACGTGCCCACAGGGGGGGGATTTAAAATGACAACTTTTTCAACTTAACTTTTGAAAATGTTCTGGAAAGTCTGACACTTTTATATATATCTTAAATTAAAGCTAATGTAATATACTTTATTACAAAAAAAAAAATTTGACCTCTGGACTTGTCTTCACAATGAAAATGGCTACCAAATGCTATTTTTGTGTGAAAATTCTCGATTTTATTTTTTACATTTTTAACTTTATAATGCAATAATAACTTATTGAAAAGTGTAAGGATCAACACAATTTAGTGATAGCAGCTGTAACAACCTTTTTATAATTATCCTTTATATCTTAAATGGGTGTGAATTTTATTTTTAAAATGGCATCATACACATTTAACTAGCTTATAATAAAGGAAATAATCTAATTAAGAAAATGATTAGTCTATAACAATTTTTATACCAGAACTTTGAAAATTATTTTCATTTTTATACCTAGGCAGGATAAAGAGAATGGTTGGAAAATGGTTAGTGATTAAATTAGCAACACCCACTCCTCCCCTCAGTCATTACTTTAAATTGTTCATTACTTCAAAAGTTTTATAGACTAGTAATTTTCTTAATTAAATAATTTCATATTTTATAAGCTAGTTAAATATGTATGTTTGCTTAAAAAAAAAAAAAATTGACACCCATATAAGGTATAAGGGATGATTAAAAAAAATGGTTAACACTTGATAAATTAATATGTAGTTTTAGTTATTATTAAAGTGGACATAGTGCCCATGCACTCAGACCTGTTGGTCCATTGTGCACACCTCATACCAAATTGTCTTGATTTGGTTTAGACACCTAAGTGTTATCACTGAAGTATTATTACATTATACCTATCGTTGTATAAGGGTGGACTATCAAGTCACCTTCTGTAGATGACCAAAGAATCCTGTCTTTCTGGTGAATATAAGTATCTCTCTGGGTCTTAGGTTTTTAATATCTTCTTTTTCAGGAAAAGGTTTATTCAAGTAGTTTGATCTTAGTGTGGACAAGGCTTTACATTATGTGAAAAGAGAATTCATTTATCTTCACACTTCCTGCACAATAGTGATTCTGATACCCTCATTGTGTTAAGATGTTTAAGCAGGTGACCATGTCCTGTCAGTAGACCAGTCAGGGTGCTTATCTAGTGTCTAGTTATGCTATTAAGATCATTCAACAGTAGACCAGGGGTCTTGATAAACATTTTAAATTGTCTAGGTACTACCAAATACTTCTAGATGTTCCTGTGTTGTTCTCTGCACCAATTCTTGGATAGCGCTTTGAGCGATTGCTCATTGAGTCCTACCACTGGTTCTGGTCCAACATAGGTGTTCTCTGCTTCTTTCCTGGCTAGAAAGTCAGCATTCTCATTTCCAGTGACACCGTTGTGTGCCGGTACCCACGCTAGTGTAACTATGTTAAACCTCGATAGTGATTTTAAAATTTCCCTGCATTCGAGGACCAGCTTTGAATTCACCTGATCGTTACAGAATGCCTTCAAAGCCGCTTGACTATCACTTAAGATAGTTATCTACCTATTTTTGTATATCAGCAGGTTCTGAGCCCCTACCAGTATCACCATCACATCTGCTTGGAAAACAGAGATTGTTGTGCCCAATGACATACTGACATTTATTCGTGGCTTTAAACCCCAAATTCCAACACCTACCTTTGTCTGATTTTTTGGATCCATCTGTATATATCACAAATCCTCCTTTTTCAGTCAGGTGGTTAATATTACATTCTCCAAGTGTAGGGAATGTTATTCTTAAGAACCGGTTTGATATAGTCCAAGGGGTATTCCAAAAAGCTCTGGTCTATCTCTTTTAGTATTTTACCATGTTCTGTTGTATCACTCTCCAAAGTCCACATACCTTTCCCAAGGCTCTACTGCAAATCCACAATGTGGTCATTGCTTTTTTGATTCTTGACTCAACTTGTAATTTCCATTTTAGCTTACTATCCAAGATAATACCTAAGTATTTTACTTCCGATTTTAAGCTAATTTCTTGTCCATTTAGAGTAAGAGTGTCAAGACTGTCTAGTCCTATTCTCCTTCTAGTGAACATAACAACCTCTGCTTTATTTGGAATAACAGATAGACCGTACTTACTACACCATATCTGTATAATGTTTGGTCTCTGTTATGCTAAGTCTATAATAGTGTCTGGGAATTTACCCACCACTGCTATAACTAAGCCATCCTCATAGGCTTGTGTATAACAATATTTGTTTAATTCTCTAATAAGCGAGTTCAATACTAGACACCATAGCAAGGGGGATAGAACCCCTCCTTGTGGGCATCCCTGTTTAACACTCTTGATTACTTTGGTCTCATTGAGCTGTCCCAAAATGGAGCGTTCCTTGAGCATGGATTCTATCCACTTAATAATAAGTGGTTCTATTCCATGCTGTTGTGCAGATTCATACATAGCATTGAAGGGAGTATTGTTAAAAGCCCTTTCGATGTCCAGGAATATACTTACTGCATACATTTTATTCTCCACAGCTTTCCCTATCTTAGTAGTTAGGCAGTGTAGAGCTGTATCAGTAGATTTCCCCGTTTGATACGCATGTTGGTTTTCATGTAAAGGGTTCTCCTTAAGAGGCCCTGCTTGATGTACCTATCAATAAGTTTCTCCATAGTCTTAAAAAGAAATGAAGTAAGATTTATTGGTCTGTAGGATTTTGCTTCATAATAGTTAGTCCGGTTAGGTTTCGGTATAAACACCACCCTGATCTTTTACCAACTTTCCGGTTGATAACCATAGGCAAAAGGCATGCTCTAAATATTTTGCAGAGATGGGGGACGATTATCTCTAACCTTTCATGCAGAAGTGCAGGGAAAATTTTGTCACATCCTGCAGCTTTAAAACTGCCAAAGGCTTTTATTTTATTTTTTCTTGCATTTCTACAATGGACGAGCCTATGTAAACTTGAGAAGATATAATTTTAATTTTATTTTATTTAATATGATATATTAATTATAACCTCCAGATCATCTAATTATTATCTGTTAAACTCAACTACACTCATAAAATTAACTCAAATTTGAATTAAGCAACATCAAAAATATAAGTTTCAATTTATTGTACTACTAATAATATACATTTTTATTGATTATAATTTTTAAAAGTTGTATCTTTATATATAAACCTCCTATTGTTTGTCAATAACATTTTAAACTTGTTTTTACTACCTTGAAAAATTGCTATATTAGCATATCAGGTTTTAGAAAATGGCTACTGATATGTTTTAATTTTTTTTATTATTTACTAGAAATTTTTTGTTCTCATTGTTTATAAGAATTGACCTGTTTCCTCACTTACTGAAAATCCTATATATATATATAAATAAATAATTATTTTTTTAGATAACATGAATTCTAAGAACAAAGTTTTGGATAATAATATAAAGTCAAGATTACGTAGTTCAAAAAAAAAAGGTATAAAATCTAATAATTAATTTGACCTAATAACAATATTTAATTTTTCTGTATAGTTAACAATTTAAAAAAATCAAAATGTAAACAAAGTATTCAAACAGATAAAAAAAGTACTGAAAATATTGATGATCACAATATTTTACTTAATGATAACAATGATTCATCTTTGTTTGACAACTTTAATACTAAAAATCAAAGTGATATTTTGCCCAATAATTCCTCAAGCTTAACACAAAATTTAGCATCTTTAAAGTCAAAAACAAAATATGGTAAGCTTTATTATTTTAGTAATTACTTGTAAATATTATTTGGTGACCAGTGGCTGTGAAGATATGATTTTCCAATAAGGTGGAGTTATCAACTTACTTTTTCTCATCCTTCTACTATTATTTATGCCGAAGTCATACACTATTTATAGTTATTACTATATATCCTCAATAAGTGGGATGGGAGCAATAGCCCAGTTAAGCCCTATTATTAATCTTAGTTATGTATGATTTTATTGGGCTTGAGATTTGCCTTTCAGCCTTATTGGAATTCTTTTATCGCATAAGACACCAGACGCTTCTCTCCACTTTAATCACCTGCACTTAATCCTGTGTCTTACATCCTCGTCAATATCACAGCTCTTTTTTGTACAACTGATCCTAAATACTTAAGACTCTCCACCTCTTCAATAACGTCCTCGCCTATTGTCACTGACCTCCTCATTTCAAATACCATACAAAGCTTTTTCTTTTTTTCCTCTAAACTTTTCTATTAGTTGTCTCACACAAAATAATGGCTCCATTGTTGAATTACCAGGCATAAATCCAAACTGGTTTTTAGATACCGATGTCTCATTTCTTATTCTTTTATTTATTACTTTTTCCCAAATTTTCATACTATGACTCATAAGCTTTATGCCTCTATAATTTCCACACTCCTGTATGTTATCTTTACCTTTAAATATCGGCACCACAATACTTTTCCTCCATTCATTTGGAATTTTCACTTTTAATATTTTCCCTTCTAAATTTTATTGGGCTTCAGATTAATTCATTAAAAAAAAATTTCATAAGACATATTAATTAAATTAATTAATCTGTAAATTATTTTAAATGTTGTAGGTATTGTAAATAGAATGAATGATCATTTGAAATTTGAAAGACATCAATTAAAAATATCTGAAGTTTTACATACATCTAATAACATTGATTCTTTTAATTCAGTTAAAATTCCTAATCAAAATAAAACTAACAAAGTAGTTAGTAAAATTAAATCATCTAACATTTCAAATGAATTAATAATGTTTAATGATTCTATTTCACATGATACTCCTGATGATATCCAAAAACCTCCAATAACTAAGAGTATGAGTACACCTCGTAGAAGAAGTACTCATATTAGAGCTCTTGACTTCAGCACTCCACAACCTAAAAAAAATGCTATTGAACTGGTACGATCCAAACTATTTTTTGACTCGCCAAAAAGAATCCAAACAATATTAGAAGAATCATTAACAAGTCCTTTTCCAAAACTTCAAGGTAATTGGGGAGCAATTAATGGTTTTGAGTCTATTATTAAGAAAGATACGGGTATATGTTTAAATTCAAATACTAAAAGTACAAATGAGATAAAAATATCTGAACTGAAATTAGTAAAAAAAAAAAAATCTCCCAGAAAAAATATGACACCAAAAAGATTAAGTAATCATTTAGTGAATAATATAAATCCAATAGTTATTCTTAACAATGAAGATTATGCAAAATTAGTTTTAACAAAAAATAATGTTTTAAGTCAGAATGATAAACTTTCTAATTCATTAGAAGACTCTCTTAATATTGGTAGTTCAAAAAATTCTTGCCATTTAAGTTTAAAGCAAAATAGCCCTGTAAAAAATATTGAAAGTATAGAATTAAAAAAGTCATTTGAGAGTTCTAGTCCTATAAACAATAAAATAAGTTCATTTTATAAAGAAAATAACTTTACAGATAAAAATAATGAAGCATTAAAAATTATACCTGCAGATTGTAAAGTTTATACTTTACAACAACTATCTTATAACAAAGTAGATTTATCTAGTTATATTAGTACACCAGAAATAAAGAAATCTACAAAGGATAATATAGCAAATAACATTATAACAAGTTTGGAGCAATTATTATTATCAAACAATTCTATTAAAACAAAAGAAAACATAACTAATCAGGCAAATTTATTGAATCAGCAAATTGATAATTCAAAATCAACCTTATTTAACACTCCAGTAAAACCTGAAAGTCCTATTAAAATAACTAAATTTCCTAAAACATCAAATGTTGATAAAAAATTGGATAAAATAATTAACAAGTCACAGGAAAATAAAAAATATATATCATCATGTTCTAACATTTATTTGCCACTTTGTTCAAATAAGATTCATGAAAATGAAAAAAATAGGTCTGTTTCTTATGAAAAATTAAATAACAAGAATTTGGATGTTTCTGAAATGAGTAGCCCTACTAAATTAAACAATTGTCAAACAACTAAACTAAGTAAAGTTCAAACTCCATTTAAGTTCGATGAACCTGAAACTCCAATTTCTAAGTTATTGCGGGAGCATGATCCAAGTAATCTTGTTACACCAATACCATCAACACCAGTACATAATGAAGCAAGTATGGAAACTCCACTCTCTAAAATATTTAGAGAAACTTCATACCTAAACCGACCTCCAATTTCACCAATCCCTTCAACACCAGTAAACTTAAAGTCTAATATCTCATCATTGTCTCCACCTAAGGAGCAAATTATTACAAATAATCCTTTAGTTAAAATGGCTGGTATTAAAAGAAGAATAAATAATTTGAAAAAAAATTCTATTCAAAGTGTTTCAGTTCAATGTAATCAATCGATACCTAGATCACCATCTGTCGTAAACAAGAAATCTCCAACTTTAAAAGTCAAATTAAAAGCTATTCCTAAAGTAAAAAATTCTAAATCTTTTAAGCATAAAAATACTAATGCTATAAAAGCACAAGTATATGAATCAGTAAAAATTGAATTATTTGGAGGTAATGATTCACCTAGTTCAAATGATGATGAATTGGAAAAATCTATGAATATTTGTAAATCATTAATTATAAATAAAAAATATGAAGAAGAGAGAACATCTGGTTTCAAACCTATTCCTCGAAGAAAACCTCTTAAAAATGCCTCTTCAATAAGTGATACAAAAAATAATTCAATTGGAAATCTTAATTTGGAACTGTCTAATTTCTCTCCTAAACATTCAACTAAAAATCATACAAACATTTCAAACTTATTAAATGATCAACAATCAAAAAAAAATACAATGCTTTCCAATACATCTGTTATTAATGATTTTAATCAAAAATTAACACAAGTAAATTCTTATCAATTGGAAAATTTTAAGACAAATAATATTGAAACTTCAATTAAAAGAAGCACTACAATTCCCAAAAGTAAATTAAATATTAATTATAATCTTAATAGTGATATTGAAAAAAATGTAAGTAAACCTTTAAAATGCGATAATGATACTTCAATTGAAAATAGTAAAAAATTATCTAATAGTTCAAAAAAACCCGATATATCTTCTTATAATTACAACCATACTTGTTCTATAGAAAATATTCTGACAGAAAGTAACTTAGATAAAAATATGTCTCACAATTTATGTATACAAAATAAAGATTCATCTGATATTGAAAGCAATAAAAGTCTTAACAAAACTAATCAAATAAGTTTAACTCTAGGAAGTCACAATAATAGCACCAATAATACATTTATTAATTATATATGTAATAAAGATACTCAAACAGAAAAGAGTAATAAATGTAAAGAAGATGATTTCAGTATTGAAAAATATTTTAAAAATTCAATAGTTTATGAAATAATTACTGAAGATGATGATCATGAGGTAATTTTTTTTTATGTTAGGTACAATTTTTGGCGCAAATGGAATTTAAAAAATATAATTTATTTTTGAATCAATAATTTTTTTGTAAAGTTCCATAACATAAAAGAAATTTTTTTTTAGGTAATTTATCTCTCATTATCTCCTATGTTTATTTTTCTTGACATTCCTTCTGAAATTATTTCTCAATCACCAATTTTACCATGTAAAATCAATAATTGCTTGAATGACAGTTCAAAAACCGAATCAAATGAAATGGAAAGTGATGGTGATTTTATTGCATCTTCATTTAATTCATCTAAAAAAATAATGAATAAAAAAAGACTGGATAAACATAAAAGGTCTAGAAGAAGCCCTTCATTATGGGAGGATTCTTATAACTGTACATCAAAATATAAGACTGATAAAAGTAAGAATTCTTCAAACTCCTACAAAAAATCCTATAAAGAAGATTCCAACAAAATGAAAATAACTTATAGGTAAATTTTTATCTTAAAATCATAATAATGTAACTTTAGTAGTGCAGATTTAATAACTTTAAATACTTATTGTGTTAATGGTTTAGTAAACACATGTTATAAATAAAAAAATTTAATTTTCAAGGCAATTCAATTTGCGTTAATATTTTATTACATTTGATTATAGTCCTTTCATAATTCTAGATATAAGAATTCTATTGAAAAAAAACGTGTAAAGTTTGCTATATTTTTATAATAGCTTACATTTGGTGTACATGTATAGTTATAAGCTGACATTTCGATATATAATAATAATATTTACTATTACAGAATGAAATTCCAACTACAAATAATATACATTAACAGTTCTACATATATTTTTTTTTTTATATTTTGTCAAAGAGTTGAGTGTTTTTTTAAGAATTTCACTAATTTTGTTTTACCTTTGATGCGACCCTAAAATTGTTTTCAGATGTGTTTATGGGTTTGAGTTTTTATTTTCTTCAACAAATTACAGTAGTTTTTGTTGTTTGTACAAAGAAAAAAACAAATTTAGAAACTGTGTCTTCAAAGATCTAGTTGTTTGGCATTTTTTGTGAATTTTAGAAAATATAGACAGAATTATCTGTGACCATAAAGTTTTTACTGTTCTTAACTAAATAAATGCCTAAAATTTGTTAAATTTAATAAAGCAAAAGAAAGAAAAATCTGATTAATAGATAATGTTTTTAGATTAAAAGTTATCATAATTTTGTAATTGATATATTATCTAATGAAATTGTAGTAAGCTATAATTTTATTTTAATGTTTAGTTATTCTCTATTTGGTATGGTTATATTGGTTTTCTATTCATCCAATTTGAAATTAATTTAAAATTTAACTAATAATTTTATTACTTATATTTTGACTAGGTTAAATAGAAAGCATCATTTTCATAGTGATCGTTCTCAGTCAGAATTCAGAAGAAAATATCAATCTAGTTATAAAAAAGATCATCACTTTAGAGAACAAGAGACACACAATATTGATAGGAACAGAAGATATAGTTATCGAGATAATACAAATTACCACAATATTCATAAACTTAAACATCAGTATGAAAGACGTCATTCTTCTAATCAATCGTAAATTATACTAATTTAATTACAATCAACTGTCCTTGATAAACACTTAAAATAGTTGATATTTTTGCTTTGTAATTTTAATAAGGTATCATAGTGATGTTATAAATGTATGCAAAGATTATGAGTATACTAAAAAAGCTACTAAAAGAAGATATTTTGATCGAAGTGACCATAGCCAGGTATTATTGTCTGATTAATGTATTAACTGTTAAAAGGTAAATTGTTATAATTACTAATTATCAGAAAAGCCAAAAAACAAATCTATATTACATTATTGTTTTTTACCTTAGGAATTCCTTTGATAATTTTTCTTTATTAATATACATTAATGTTTATGTTGAGTGAGATCAATCAATGTATAATTTCATTGTATACAATAGTACGTAAAATAATTGATTTTAAAAAATATGTCACTTACGACAATTTGCCTTTTAACTATATTTTAAAATGAATTGCATTATTATTATTTTATTTTATATAAAAATCTTGTTACTTTTAGTACTTAATTTAAGAATCTATGGTTCAATTCTTTGTTTTGACATAGCTTTTATTCAATCCTTAAAAATTTTTATGTTTAATGGATTGATTTTACATTGAAAAACTAAATAATAATTTAAAGTTTAAATAAACATTGTCAATACATCTAAAAGTACTTTTGATTTTATTATATAAAAAAAGTATAGGTGATATAAATACAACTAATTATAAATAATAATATTACATTTAACAAATTAAAAGGTAATAATGTTTCCGAATAGGTAAACATATAGGAATTTTAATAGTGATGCACACACCTTTCCACTTAATGATTCCCTCAGTTATAAAGATATTACATCACGTTGACAACTGATGTAAAAATTCTGCCAAATCATTATTAGGTATCCCAAATAGTTGTGATAGAGGCTAAAGAGGTGATGATGATTTAAAAACTAATGAAATGTAATTTTTTTACAGATTCCACATAAAATAACAAAATCTGAACATCAAAAACTACCTAAACATGTTGATGTGGATGATTTTTTATCAAAAACTCATGACCGATTTTGAAGTTTTATGCATATATTGAAACATAAAGTATTTAGAAATAAAATTGTATATAGTTTATATTTGACTGAGTTATATTCAATGATATTTTACATATTTTAGATTTGATTAATGTCTAATAGTTATACATTGTGTTCATTAGTGTTTTATATATTAACAAAGTATTTTATACAAGAAAGAAATAAATTTGTACATATTTTTTTAACTACATAAAAAGCATTATTTACATTGTAAAAAATATTAACTTAGCTTTATAATTTTATTATATACTTTTAAAAATATATAACCTTAAGTGGATGAATTTAAAGGAATGAAAATAACCATATTGGTATTATTTTAGATAGTATGTAGCCTATTCAAACATTTTTAATTCTGTTCTATCTTGTTAATGGTAATAATATTAAATGAAAGTCAATTCTTGAAATATTTAAGATAGGCGTAATCGAATGATTTTGATAATAAAAATAATAGTTAATGAAAATTTAAGTACAGACATATTTAATCAAAATATTAAAATACAATATACTTAAAAATCAAAATTAATAGAATCACTCAATTTTCGAATAAATTGTATGATAAAAATTGTTGATATTATTAAACAGCCTTTATTCTAAACTTCCACTTGAAACTCCCACATCATCTATACTCATATTAGTCGTCCTCATTTCATATTCAATAATATCCCTCCATCTCTATTTTGGTCTTTCTCTGCCTCTACAACACTCGTTTCCATAACTGTTCTTACAGCTTCTGATTCCTCTCTCCTCATAACGTGACCAAACCATCTAAGTCTATTTTCTTTTATCTTATCCACGATTTACGCTACACCTATACTCCCTCTTATATGTCGATTCCTTATCCTATCTTCTCTAGTCACTACACTCATCCATCTAAGCATTCTTATCTCTGCTATATTCTCTTGTCAACCGTCCAACACTCTGAACCATACATCTTAGTTGGTTTCACTTCAGTCTTAAAGAACTTATTTTTCAAACTCATTGAAATTCTTTAATCGCATAATATACCAGACGTTTCTCTTCATTTCACCCAACCGCACTTAATCCTTGTCAAAACCACCGTACTTTTGTACATCTGATCCTAAATACTTAAAACTTTTTATTTCTCCTATCACGTCCTTGATTATTGTCACTGTTCATCTCATTTTACCTACCTCGTTTTTCCTTTGTCAAACTCAAAACTTTCTCAAATATTCACTGTTTCACTCCCACTTATTCTTAAGCCCTTTTCTTCAAGAACTGATCTTCACTCCTCTAGCTTTTGATTAATTTCTTCCCTAATAGTTGCACTATTTTTAGAACTCTTCTTAAATAGTAATAATGGATAATTGTTGAACTATAATAGTAATATTTTTGATTCATAATTGTTTTACAAATGGATCCTAAAATACATAATTTTACTACTATTAATTTATATAAAAAAATTCTATGCAAAGAATACGTCTTTTTAATCTATCATTTCTTTTCAGATAAATTATTTTTTTCTAAAAATGTTTTTACGTAAAATACTTTCCTATAAAAATGGTTTATTCTCATAACTTTTGTTCTTTAAAATTTCATTAGAATCAGTTTTTTTTAAAAATTTATAGCAGTTTTTAGAGGTAGAAAAATTTTGTTTGAATTATAAAATTTTTTAGGAAATTGTAATTTAAAAAAAATTTTTCTCAATTTCTAAAATTGAGAGGTTTTTTCAATTTTGGGACATGATAAATTTAATTAAATAAAAATAAATAATTTATTTTTTGATGAATATTGAACATAATAATTACTGTTTTAAATTAATATTTTTTAATTTTAAATATTATCGACAAGTAATTAATTCTTATTATATTTTAATTTTTTAGTAAATAAATTTTATATCAAAAGTATCGATATGTTTTAACCGAGTTATAAGATGGTCTATAAACGCGTGCTCTGTACTATCTTATCAGATACTACAAATAATTTTTGTGTGTTAGTCAAATTATTTTTAAGTTTGTATCTATTAATTTTATTGTGTTGTAAAATCAGTGCATTATGGATTTTCAATTGAAAAAACCTAGTTTGTTACTAATACGACTAGGACAAGTAGAAAATAGTACTTCTGTCAATCAGAGTCAAATGTCTTTAACTCATAATCCTAAAGCTATTATAGAAGAAAATAATATAGTGTAAATATTTTCGATTATTTGATTACAATAAAACACAAGAACACTGTTTCAGTTATAACACTTGTGTTTTTAAATTATAAAAATTATTTTAATGGTTGAATAAATCCTACTTCCTATCAGTCAAATCCTATGAGTTTATCTCAAATGGTTCATATCGTATTTGGTTTAATTCTACTAAATTTTTAACTTATTTTCTAAATGCAATTTGACAATTTATTAGTTATGAATTATCTTGTAAAACCAATCATATTTATGGGAAAGTGTCTAGTGGGGTTTTAGACTACGGCTAATTTAAGATTATTTTTTTTGAAGAACACTTCTTTTTTCAGTTTTAAACTTGTTTATGTTTATCTGAAAAATAGGTGAAATTTACATAAGATTTTGGATAATAACTGTAATTTTATGTAGTATAATTATTTTTTTTTCATCTAATCCATAATTAAAGGATCCTACCAAGAACTTCTTGTTAGTTTACCTAACCAATTTGGCTTGACTAATTCCACTCCTCAGTCTCTTCTTTTAAAACCCATTTTTCTTATATAGTTTCTTAAATATTTTGTACTATAATCTATAAATCAGATATTAATATCTTTAGAATACTTGAATTTTATTTTTATTTTATCCTGCTCTCTATAGTTGTGATATATATTTGTCTTAATACTTCCATTTCTGCTCTACTTTTCTATTTATTATTAATATTCTGATCCATATATCATTTTTGGTATACTATTTATAAAATATATTTTAATTATTTTTTATATTGTCAGTAATAAAGAAATATGTCAAAAAACAACACATACCAAGATAGAAAATGAAGAATTATTAAACAAAAATCATGTAAGCTAATTTAAAAAAAAATTTTAAATCAATTTTTCATTAAAATTGTGTAAAATTACTTTCTTATTAAAATTAATGACATATTATAGTTAATAATTATTGGTGAGGGGACAATAAAATAATTTCACATCAATATTTTTTGCATTTCAAATATTAATATAATTATTAAAAAAAAAAAAACATTTTTAAACTCTAAGGAAAAAATAAGTTTAATATTTCTTAAATACTAACCACCTACAACTTGAGTTATTAAGATTCAGAGGTTTATAAAACAATTGTGTACTACTATTTATTTGTTTTAAACTAATGGATTTTTCATAGATATGATTTCATGTACATATTTAAAATGTTTGTAGGGTTTATAATATCTCATCATAGAGATATAAAATTTGAAAATTCACAAAAAAAATATTGATATCCCAATACCAATATTTTATCACACTTGATATTTTTACCTAAAACTAATAGTTATAAAAATTATTATAAGTGTATTGCTACAAAATAGCTAATAACTAGCAATATATGATATTTGAGCAGTATAATAATTCAATATTATACATAAATTGTTATATTTGTTGTTTTTATTTACTCAAGCGTAATATGTAGTAATTTAAAAAAACGATATGCAGTAACTTCCTTTTTTATTGGTGGTGGTAATATATACTAATACAGAATATTTGCTTAAATTTTTACTAAGATTTGTTAGGGGCAGACCTTAGTTAATATTATTGTAAATAAAAATATTTTATTCCAATTAATGTTATTAATTTTAAAATGATAAATTATGTTACAATTGTTTTTAGCTGGAAAAAAATGGAAATTTTTCATTAAAAGATTTACATTGTTCAAGCACTCTTAATCAGGTAGATAAAGTTAATGAAGATAACTTTAATGTTTTACTCGGTGATAACAGAGGGATTGATAGTGCTTTTAAAATTAATGGTATGTATAAGTATTATATTCATTTAATATATAACTCTTTTATTTAATAATTTCAGATAGAGGCTTATTGAGCAAAATTTATAACGAAAAGTCATGTGTCACAAATAATATCACAACTATAAATGTAAGATCTTAAGTAAATAAATAAATATAGTTGTTAATTTTTATAATTAAATTACAGAAAAAAATTGCACATCTTAAAACTGATATTTCAAATTTAGAAAAAATTGACTATGATATATTAGAAAAAGTATTCAATATTTTTACAAATTTACCAGAAAGTATAGCTATTAATATTCCTGGACTTCGAGATGCAACATCAATATCACGAATTAAAAAAATTCGTCAGAAAATAAAAAATAAATTAAATAGTGCAAAAATTCAATTAAAAAAACAACTAGAAAATTCTAAGTTGATTGGTCAAAATTATTCTACTACTATAACAGCTACATTAAATGAGAAACAAAAACATAATTTAGATAGTAATATTATTCTACCTGTAGAGTTTACTACAAACCAAATAATTGAATCAGAATGTATGATTGATAAATTAATATCATCAAATTTAAAATTAAAAGAAATAAATAAACATAGTTCAATAACAGTTGATTCAACAACTAATCTATCTAACTTTATTCAAGGAAAAAATGTTGATTTGTATCTTTCTGATTCTGAAAAAAACATAAACATCAATAAAGAAACAAATTCATTGAGAGAAAGTAATAAAATAAAGCCATATGCTAAATTATTTAAAATTTAATATATTTCTGGAGCTTTAAAAGCCATGTATGATAGCAGCTTAGTTATAACCAATAGTTATTTTAAAATAGAAAACATTTTTTTTAAACTTTAGTCTTATATTTTTAACTCCAGATTTATTTTTGAATGAAAATACAAATCTATAATAGCAATATAAGTATTCAAAATATATTTTAGAGAAACTTTTTGCTGAAGACAATGTTTTAAAAAATACGTGTAGACTATCAACTAGAAATATTGAGCATCAGTATTTGAAAAAAGAATTATCATCTATTGAATTTAACAGAACAGATTATGAACATTCATCTAAATTAAAAATGGTAATTTAAATATTTTTCTAAAAGCTAAAAACACTATTTTACACCATATTATTAATCTACCTATATGGAAAAGTATTGTGATCTGAATTATAAGTAGTCTAGTAGCAAGGTGTGTCTATGACGTCTTGGATCACAGAATCAAATTCTGTACAATATCTCATTTTTCAAATAATTTCAAGTACATTGCAGACCAAGTAGTTAACTCAATGACTTATTATATTAAAAACACGTTTCCCATGATAAATATTTATATGTGTGTGTGTGTGTGTGTGTGTGAGTTAAAGTAAAAGGAGTGTAAGTCTATTTGAAAAATTAACTTTAAAATTAGTTGGATTTGAAAATCAATATTTAAAATTTGACCTTTTCTTTGGTATTAGTAATAAAAATAAAATTATATTGTAAAGAAATATTCCATTTTCAAAATCTAAATTTATATTTGTCCTTATGGAATTAAAAATTTTCAAATGTTTTTCTAAAAATTCATTGAAATTGATTTAAAATATTTTAGCTTTAACCCCCACATTTATATATTACATATTTTATAAATTTATTTCTAATCTAATAGTGGTCATAACTCAGGCTTATGTGGCAGTATATAATTATGAACTATCATATAAAATGAGATAAAATTATAGGAAGGGTCCAGATCTAATTTAAAGTTAGTATACTTAGTACCCATAAAAAAAAAGTAAGAGAAGTGTCATAATAAGGTAATATTATAACACAAATTTGCTAACATTTTTACTTAAGGTTTTACATCATTAAAACTCTTAAATCGGCCCTATTTAAAATAATATGAGCTATTATAACAATTACAGTTTTTAAGTTTAAAATATATGTAAATTTACTACTTCAACATGTAGATTCTTCACAATTTCTTTGTAAAAGTAGTATAGTTTTTTTAGCTTTTTTATTAAATTTCTTAGTTAAAAAGGTTAAACTATGAACTTATGTAAGCACAGGCCGAATAGGCAATAGTCTGACCTAATACTTAATTATAAGCATAATAAGCATAAAACTTCATCATCTGGGGTTCCGCAGAAATAATGTAATAAAATTGATAAACTTTTACTATGATAATGTAAGAATTTTATATGAGCAAAAATAATAAGGTGAAAATCTTAAGTGAAAAGCGATAGCATGTAGAATTTTTTTTATTTTTTTAATTTAGTTGGTATCAAAAAGTCGATTTTATATTAGAAGTAAATGAAAAACATTGTCATAATTATTCATGTAAACAAATATATAAGAATTATGTGCTTAAAATAATACTCTTATACCAAATCTAATAAATCAATAAATATAACAAATCTATAAATTATTATCTGTATTTTAAAAAGATAACAATGATTGATATGTATTTACAGCTGTTTAATGTTAAGAAAATAATATTTTTACAATTACTTTATTTTGGATTTTTTTATATTGTTAAAAGTTGACATTTTTATTTTGTTTTCAATAAAGATATATTAAACCATTATTATATTTATAAAGGATCCCTCGAAATAAGTTAGTATGAAGCCTTGCTGACCTTTTTAGCGTTAACCCTAATTATTACAACTACTCATAAGTAATCTTGAAGAAATATAGTTAAATACTGATGAGAAGTATTAAAACATTTTTAATGTCCTACTTTGATGATTCAATGATATTTAATAACAGATCTTGAAACGGAAACAAAAAGGTTCTATTTCCTATAAACATTATATATACAGAATAGTACAGGATCTAACTGACAACTCTTAAGACAAAAATTATTAAAAATAAAAAACTATTCAATTTTTTTTGGCCTAGTTTTACATAAAAATTTAGTTATACCTATGACTGTAATCATGTAAATAAAAGGTTTTATGTTACTAAGTAATAAGTACTTTTATTTTCATAATTGTTTAGACTTAAGTACTTATTGTTACACAATTACTAAAATATATTATTTTTAATTTAGGTTTTCAAAAAAACATTTGGCCTTCACACTTTTCGTGTTAATCAACTTAATGCTATGAATGCAGCAATGCTTGGACATGATTGCTTCATATTAATGCCAACTGGAGGTGGTAAATCATTATGTTACCAATTACCTGCTGTTATATCCAATGGTCTTACTATTGTTATATCTCCACTCAAGTCCTTAATTTTAGATCAAACTCAGAAATTGAAGTCATTAGACGTAAGTACAAATAAAAAATATAAGCTAAGAACTTAAGCATTTTCTTTTAAGTGAAACAAATTTGAAAGTAATATTTCAATAACTTACAGTAAATTTTAGATTCCAAGTATTAACTTATATTTTATTTTTAATTTATTAGATAAATTTTATGTTGAGTTTTATATAGCATATATTCCTATTAAATCGGTTTTAAGGTTTAAAATGTTAATTGTTATTGTTATTAGAACGGGAGTTGGCTATTTAATTTTATATTAATTTTTAACACGGGCTAGATAATTTTAAAAATATTTTTGAGGTTTAAAAATGGTAAGTTAATGGAAAGGTTCCGAGTGACTTTTCCTTAGATACTAATGTTTATACATTATATGTATCATAATATCTTTATAATAACGTAATATTAAGATGTGTATTTTATATTTGAAACACCAAAAATACTATTCTTCAGGACCTCTATCAGAAATATCTTGAAAATAAGGCCAAAAAATAAAAATTATATATTAACCCATATAAAATACCTAAAATATTATTTATTAATAATTTAACATTATTATGTTACATATGTCAAATGAATAGTTTACTACTAACTTATGAATGTATATTAAGTAAAGATACTTGTAATGTGTACTAGATTTTTAATCTATATTTATATTTCCACATACACATTATGATAAATTTTTAGGAAATTTATAAATTTATTTCTAACTTTAAAGGGTTTGAAAAAGTACAAATGAGTTATGATATACCAAAAAGTTTTTTAAATTGTATATTAGCTTCTAATCAAAAGCAAAAGTGAACCAATTAAGCTTTAAAAATATATCGAAGTGAAATAACATATTACACAAGTATTTTTGCTCTTTCATAAATTCAAGATTCTATACTTCATTTTAGTTAAATGCAATTAATTTGTCAAAGATTTATTGTATAATATTATTATTATTATTTTTTTTTATAGATACCAACAGCACATTTATTAAGTGAAATTACAATTGACGAAGAACAAACCATTTTATCAAAACTTAGTGTAGCTAATCCAGGTAATTAGTTTAATAATTAATTACTTAAAGCATATTTAATTAACTAATTTTGATAAAATTTTGTTAAAATAGAATTAAAATTGCTTTATGTGACTCCTGAAAAAATAGCAGCCAATCGGAAACTTATTGAAGTATTAAATCATTTATATAGTAGAAACTTATTGTCTCGTATAGTTATTGATGAAGCTCATTGTGTTTCTCAGTGGGGTCATGATTTTAGGTTTGTTTTAGACAATGCTCTATAAGTATTATTAAAATATTATTATATACAAGTTTAAAATAATAGTTATAATTTGTTTTTTCATTGTTTTTAAATATCAATTTTAAAAGTAGGATTTTCATGCTCGTTCACTTTTGATTTTGAGCCCTTTAATAAAATTTTACTATTGGTAAAATTCATGTTTATAATTGAGAAATTGTAAGGATTATTGATAAAAAACAAATTGTTCAGTTCTTGTTCCCTCTATAAATAACTTAAGTAAAAGGGGTTGCCTCAAATATTGAAAATAGAGAAATTTTTGTTAATCGAGGATTTTCTGGAACGTTAGAATTTTATTACAGTAATCCAACCCAAATTGGAATTTTGACAGAATTGTTTTACAGGAGTGTAACAGATTTCTGTTACAACATTGAATTAATATTATAATATTTTGCTATAATGATAGATGGATTTTATTTAATTAAACATGGAAGTATAATAATTTAAAGACATAAAAAAGTAGATGAAATTTTATCATTTTTGTGATAATACTTTATTAATTCCATGGGTACATAGTGTATTCATGTAAAATAATTAATAATATTAAAAATAAGTATTAATAAGTTTATGGCACTTATATAAGCGGCAGCGCTTGACGCGTAGTGTCTCAGGTTCAAAACTCGGTCACGGGCGGCTTCATTTACCGAACGAGAGATCAGTTCGGTAATTTGGAGTCGCCATCCCACCTCCGGCGACGGACTAACCACCCGTCCCGGAGTATAAATGGTTAAGAAACCTCCTCCTTTGGGGAGGCCGCTGTGGCCCTTAATGGGCTAATAAAAGCGCGTAAAAAAAAAAAAAAAATGGCACTTATTTATTAATAAGTACCATAAACTTGTTTATATTACTTTTTTATACACTTATTAATTTTTGTGCTTTTTTGAAGGAATAAGTGCATTATCTAATGTTTTTCTACTAGTATTAACTACTTAACTAAATTGCAGTGTTAGGTTAGGAAGTTTTGATAATAATATAACTTTAGGATATATCCATGTTTGCAGTTGAGTTCTGACGTTTCGGACTCATTGCAGAGTCCATCTTCAGAGTGATGTTTGCTAGTCGGTGGACTAGTAGTCTAAAGATGGACTCTGCAATTAGTCCGAAACATCAGAACTTAACTGCAAACATGGATATATCCTCAAGCACTTCAAGCAACAAGACAATCCATGAAAGCTTTAACACATTCATAATAATATAACTCTTAATATTTTATAGGAAATAAATAAATTTTTAATTAATAATCTAAAAATAAAGTTAACAAACTTATTATTTTTTGTTAGCTCATATAATAAGTTTAGAATTACATTGAATTAAATAATTTATTCATAACTTGTTGAATTTATTTGAAAAAATAATTATTTTTTATTTTTTTTAGGCAAGATTATAAAAAATTAGGGATCTTCAAACAATATTACCCCAATGTTCCTATTATGGCATTAACAGCTACAGCCACTTTACGAGTTCGTGAAGACATTTTACACCAATTAAATATGCAATATACTAAGTGGTAAATACTTGTACTAGTACTAAAATCATTATTAATCATTTATTATAAAAAGAATAAGTATATGTTACATTTAATTTTATTTATTTATCATTTGTACAAAGTTCAGTCATCTTCTTAAGTAATAATGTTGGACTAGCTCCAAAATATACATATGAAAAACACATTTAGTTCTAAGTATAAAAATTTTTTTGCTTATTTTTATTTAAAAAATGTAAATTAACAATTAAATTGACACAACTTATGGAAACCAACAAATTATTAATATTCTTTTTCTTTTTCAAATATGATAAGAAAATATTGACACCATACATTTGCGATCAGTGCGCTCTTAAATTTGAATAACTAATGTGATCAAAATATATGACAACTTATAGAAATATTTTAAAAAAACATCTATAGCTCAAAAATTAGCTCTCTTACCAAAACAATGTTAAAAAGCAGTATGTTATTGCTCATATATCTATGTTGAATATATTCAATGTAGGTAAATTTTTTTAATGTCTGTCTAGTTTGTTTTTTTATCCTGAACAAAAAATTCAATGTGCAAAAATTTAAAAAAAACTTAGTTTTAGAATTATTTTAAGTTTTATAAAATATTTGTATACTATGTGTCACAGGAGTTATGAAAATTACTATTACTAAATGAATACTGCTCTGTATCATAAATGTACAGTGTCTATAACTTCTTGCACTCAGAGTGTGATATAATTCATAAAAGACTAAATGATATAATAACTAATTAAAAAAAAGGGGGCGTGGTATGGCGTTCTGGACACACCAGATGTTAACAAAACTTTAGTGTTAAACCACGCCTGCTGCTGTAATGTACAAATAGGTAACCATTCGTGTGTTTTTTGGAGGCTAAAAAGACTATGTCTCCAGTGTAGAAGCCAACGAGAAACTATTACATTTATCCCTTCCTTAGTAATACCAGTTCACCTTAGAGTATCTAGTATCTAACGCCCAAAAACAGATAGGAATAAAAAAATTTAAATAAGATTCATGAAAATATTTCTACTCTAATATTTTATATTAGTTTAGAAATTAATTAAATATTTTAAATAAATTTTTTTTTTATAAACTATTAAGTATAATAAACATATTTTTTCTAAACATTTTACTTTCTTCTTAGGTTTATATCCAGTTTTAATCGGACTAATCTCATTTATGAAGTTCATGCCAAAACTGGTAAATCTACTTTGATAGAAATATGTCAATTAATAAGCTCTAAATTCAGTTTCCAGTCTGGTATAGTTTATTGCTTAACCAAAAAAGAATGTGATGATACAGCTACTATGATGGTTCAGTATGGTATAAAAGCTTCTAGTTATCATGCAGGTTTAAGTGATAAAAAACGTAAAGAAATTCAAATTCAATGGTCTTCAAATAAAATTAAAGTATAATTTAATTGGTTTTACTTTTATACATTTTGAAATTATTATTTTTTAGGTAGTTTGTGCTACTATAGCTTTTGGAATGGGTATTGATAAACCCAATGTTCGTTTTGTAATACATTATTCCTTACCTAAATCTATTGAAGGTTATTACCAAGAATCTGGAAGAGCTGGTAGAGATGGAGATATATCATATTGCTTATTATTTTATAATTATTCAGATAAACACAGAATTCAGAAACTTATTGAAAGTAAATAAATTAATTTGTTGTATTAACCATTATTTACTATCTATTTATAATTTGACTTACTAATATTTTGTATAATAGTCTCAATCAATTTTTTTAATTTTTACAGTAAGACTTAAAATAACATCTTTGGTTCCCAGGAAAAGTTGCTTAGGTCAACTTTTCACCTTTTTTTCAGAAGAAATAGTAGCATACATATTTTAATTTAAATAGTCATTTTTTAAGATTAATTCTCTGCAAATAATTAAATAAAGATAAATTTTCCTATGATATGTATATACGTTTTCAAATTCTTAAAAGGCTATCCTGAAAAGTTTATCAAATTGACTAATAATTCATTTTTCTGAGACCAAAGACATTGTTACACTACACAAGTAGAGTTAAAATTCTTATTTAACATTAAAGTATTTTATTATAAATCATATTTCTATCCATGTACTATCATTATTTTTATGTGTTATAGTGGGTCGTGGAGCTACATATGAAACAAAAAAAGTTCATTTTCAAAATCTATATAGAATTGTATCATTTTGTGAGAATAAAACTGATTGCAGACGTGCCCTTCAGTTGAATTATTTTAATGAAAAATTCAATCAAAAAGATTGCATTGCAAACAAAGAAACTGCTTGTGATAATTGTAGAAATAAGGTAAATTGATTAAATGGCACATATGAATAATTATCTGAAATTATAAAATGAGTTGCATAATGGAATTCAAATTGTTAATTTGAGTTCAAAAAGAATTGTGTTTTATCACATTTAATTATCTCCTTCATATGTTCAATAGTTAATAAATGACCCAATAATAATCAGTTTTGACTATTAGTTCCACAAAAAACTTGAAACATAAAGCACATAAAAGTAAGTATTTTATACAAAAAAAAAACCTTCGAACAAATTCTTATAAGACAATTTTCCTTTTTTTATTTCTAAAATAAAATCTTTGATTTCAAACTTAAAAAAAATTAAGTTTTTATGGTAGTTTTTTATACAAAAAATTATTGTAGCTTAAATTTGTTTCAGAATTCTACCAAACTTATTGATGTTACAAAAGATGGTGTTACTATGGTAAAACTAATTGAGACAGTTAGTAAACAAAAGGGTCATTTACCTACTAATTTCACATTTACATATTTTGTTGATATTTTTAAAGGAAACAAAAATCCTAAAATTTTGTCATCTGGTAGTTTTAATTTGAAATACATGATGTACATTTTATAATTAGTTTGTGGTGCTATTTTTTAAGGTCATGATCAACTCACCACTTTTGGATTCTTTAAACATTGGGAGAAACAAGACATTGAACGTCTTTTGCATAAATTAATTCTTGAAGGATATTTGCGAGAAGAAATGGTAGCTTCTAAATATAATATTGTAAATTCATACATTCATGTTGGCAATGAAGCAAATAATCTTATTAATGGACTTGTTAATGTGGGTGTTTAAATATAAATAGTTAATTAAATAATTTTTAATAATATTAAATTATTATATTTATATAAAAAAGAATTAAAAATTATATTTTATAGATAAATATGGTGTTTAATACCAGTAAAATAACAGAAATTCAAATTAAAAATATTAAACAAACTACTGACAATTCTCTTATTAAAGAAATCCAAGAAAAATGCTGTCAGGATCTTATGGATGTATGTCGTGGTCTAGCAGCTTCATTAAATATCAATCTTAATGCTGTGATGTCTATGCAAGTAAGAAAACAACATTTATCATCTGAAAATAAAATGTATTTATGAAATTTAAACATATATGGTTAGATCTATCTTAGATGTCTACTGCCACTACATTTTTTATAGCCTAATTCTAATTAATTTATCTGGCATTTAGTCCCTAAAAAGTGTCATTATTTAGAGTTTCACTTTTGTAAAATGAATCTCTTTATCTAATCTGAAATTTTTTTACAACACCAACCTATCTAAACTTTTTCTTTTTTCTCACCTTTATCCCAACTACTGCTGTCCTCATATTGTATCATATTCAATAATATCTCTCCATCTCTTTTTTGGTCTTCCTCTACCTTTTCTTCCTTCAACATTCATTTCTACAACTGTTTTTACGGCTCCCTATTCTTATATCTATAATTTTATTATATACTTTTAAAAATATATAACCTTAAGTGGATGAATTTAAAGGAATGAAAATAACCATATTGGTATTATTTTAGATAGTATGTAGCCTATTCAAACATTTTTAATTCTGTTCTATCTTGTTAATGGTAATAATATTAAATGAAAGTCAATTCTTGAAATATTTAAGATAGGCGTAATCGAATGATTTTGATAATAAAAATAATAGTTAATGAAAATTTAAGTACAGACATATTTAATCAAAATATTAAAATAAAATATATTTAAAAATCAAAATTAGCAGAATCACTCAATTTTCGAATAAATTGTATGATAAAAATTGTTGATATTATTAAACAACCTTTATAATATAAAATCTACCAGTCCCTTGTTCTATGAGATATTCTCTAATGGATATTAGAATATAACCCAACCGATCTTATTATACTAATATATATATATTTTTATATGTTAAATTTTAGGTTTAAATCAAAAAACTACTAGCTAAATCATCAGCCTGATTTAGTATGTATTAATCATACACAAGCCTTGTGTATGATTAATTTATTTAACTCTAATAAGTGAGTCTAGAACTAGACACCATTGCAAAGATATAGAACCCCTTATTGTGGATATCCTTGTTTAAAACAAACTGTTCAAAGATGAAGCATACTAAAAAACATTTTAATAAAAAAAAAATAAAGTGATAAAGTTACCGAAAAATTGTTTTTTTTTCATTTTGATTGATTGTAAAATAAAATAATTAATCAAAAAATTCTGTTTTTAAAATAAGGAGCATATTTAAATTTTATTTTGTTAAGTTTTGTTTTCAAAACCGATCAATGAAAAATTGATTGGTCAATTTGACAATAATACTCTCATAACTTATCAAGTGAGTTCAACCAACTTCCATGTTAAGAAATATATCATTTAGCTTTAATCAAAAAAATTAATGGAATATTTATGTCCAAAAAAATCCTATGTATAAATAATAGCATGCAGCTCAGGCTATGGACCCATGGCCATTCTTAATTAAAAACCAATTGGTTTTCTTAGAAATCAATTTGTTCTTTCTCTTGAATATGCCTGTCTAGAAAATTGTGGTTTGAGCTGGAAGATCATGATTCTCATATAACTTAATGAATTTTTAATAAGTTACTAAAAAATCTACATTTGTAGGGTACTTAAATGATTTCAAACATTTTTTCTTGGTTAATTTGTTGGTACTTTAAAAGTACTAGTATTTTTATACTAAACATTAAATTTTATAAATAAAAAGAATACATGTTTCAAGAACTGTGATAAAAAAAAAAATAAGAATAAGAATAATAATGTCAGCAGTAAAACAAAATGTGAAATTTAAAAATATCTGTTATTTTTTGGCTATGCTTTATAATATATTTCATTATTATTACAGACAATCCATATGATGTCAATAGTTCTACCTAGAAATGAAGAAGAAATGTTAAATATTGAAGGTGTGACTAAGTCAAACTTTGACAAATTTGGCGAACCACTTTTAGAAATAACAAAAAAAGCCGCAGATGAAAAATTATGTTAGTATAATTATAAAATTAACATTTAAGTTAGTGAATATTTAAATTAAAACTGTAATACAAAAGTCCTATTTATTCAATGGTTTTATTTTGTAATTAATATTTATTGATCAAGGTAAATAATTAAGCACAAAATTTCAGGCCGTTTGCTTTTTCATCTTCCATTACTTTGTATATGTTCTAACATAAGGATCTAGCTCTAATAATCTAAGTGTGCCTATAAAAAAAAACTTATTTATATTCAAAATGTTTTACTTAATTGAAAATAAAATAATATGAATTGAATCTAAGATTTTTAATTATTAACAGTTTATTAATAAGGTATTTTTAATAGCAGTTTTTTTTCTTCAAAATTTACTAATTCAATTTATTTTTATATTACCCATATATTCCTAGTTTATTTATGTTATATATGTATACCAATTATTTGGCAGATCATGTCTGCTCTAAATAATTTTAATAGAGCTAAATTTTAGTACTGCACAATTACATAGGTACTGTACTATTACAATATCAAAATAATAAGATATATAAAAAATTATTTATTAAAATTTTTACGTTTTCTGGTCATTCCATCCGTAACAATTTTTATTACTTTTATAAAATAATAAAAATGTTAGAATGAGAACAAAAAAGGTTCTTTTTTTTTAAGCTATTACGTAAACGATAAAACTCATTGTTTTTCAGACTAAGATTTTTGTTATTTTATAGATATAAAAAAACTCAATAAATTATGAAAAAAGAAATAATGATGTGCTTAAATAAATTTTAAACATTTAGCTGTAGAAATTGCTGAAACAATTGAGAAACAGCAACAATTAGATCATGTTGAACAAAGTAATAATGATCCATGGAATAGTTTTAAGGATAGCAATTTTTGTTCAATCATGACAGATAAAATGATGGAAAGTATGAAGCATTCAAGATGTAAAAGGAAATCTATATTGTCTGGTAATAGAAAAAAACGATTTAAGAAAACTAAAAAGTAAGTATTACTAATTATATATTAATATTATGAAAATTTTGAAATATTAATAATTATGTATGTTACTGACGTTAGTACTTAACATGTATAGAGTAATCAAAATGTTCTGACATCTTTAACAACTTCTTATACAGCAAATATGTTATGTTCAATATTTTAAAAATAATTTTAACAATTTTTTACTAATAAATTTAAAAATATGACTTATAATTTATCTTTAACAAATTTAAAAATTTATATAAGCTAATTTTTAAATATTTTTCTTACAAAAAATGTTGATGGGTCGTTAATAATTTTATGATGAGTAATTAATGAGTTACAATTATTTTAATACATTGAGTATACAATACAGTGTATAGTGTGGGGGTACATCTCATACTGATATTAGTGATGGGCATTTTCGAATATTGTAAACTATCGAATAACTATTTGAATTGTATTTATACAACCAAATATTTTATACCGAATAGTTTAAAAACTATTTGAATATATTGTGTAACTATCGAATATTTTTACTATTCGAATAGTTTTTAAATGACTATCGAATGTTCGATAATTATTATTCGATATTTCTCATCAGTAACTGATATATATTTATAAAGCATACTCCACTTACATTATATAAACATTTCTATAACTCAATAACTACTCATCCATTAAAATTTTTTGTAAGAAAAGTGCTAACATTTCGAAATTTTAAAATAGAAAAAAAATTACAATGCAGTGTTGATTGCATTTTAATTTATTAGAGTTGTCAGCTAATTTTGTTTTACCTTTATTTATATAATTTTTTTTTTCAGGAAAATTAATATGAAAAATAAAAGTAATATTAGTATGGCTAAAATTCGAAAAACAGCTCTAAGTATTAATGCAAGAATACGTCCTTCAACTACAAAACCAGGTTTTTTACCAATTCCACAACCACATGATAAATAACTTACATTTATTTAAAAATTATTATGTATTTATTTATTTATTTTATAATAATGTTTAGTAATCAATAGAAAAAAGAAATAAAAAATTACAAGTAGAATATTATGTGCTTATAAAATTTAGTAACAACCAACTAAAAATAAATAAAAATATGTATATATAATATTAATAATACGCGTGCGTGTACGGGTACAAAAAACAAAAAATAAAATTATACAGGAATAGTGTTGCCGGCGTTTGGTGAGCGGAGTGGGGTGAATGCGTTTTGACAGTGTAGTCAAAGACATAGACGACGGAGTACGCATGGCGCGTAGAGTTACAAATAAAGATACTTACAAACATACAGGTGAACTAATATATGCGTGTTAAAAATAAATAAAGTTAAAAAAAAACACGATTTTAAAGCACATCGAACTAAAAAGTTCAAAATAATTTTTTAAACAACAATAATGAAAGAAAAGTACTAGTATTATTGTGATAAATGCGTCGGGCGTTTAATATACGAAAAATATGGCTCAAAGTCCCCACGCTTTTTTTCACAATAACACTAGTATTTTAAGAAACTTACAACAAACAGCGTACATGTGAAACTAATATAAGCGTATTAATAATGAACTATTAGGTAAAATAACTGTAGGAATATTGAATGGAATTATATTTAATATTTCAAGGCAATCAATATAATTTTTAATTAGTTTTTGAATTCAATATATATCAGCAAACTGACATCGGTGATCAAGATCCAGAATATTTTATTTTAGAGCATTGTATGTATATCTGTTGAATTACTATAAGTTTTGTAATTCAACATTCTAAAAAGTGCCTTTGTAAGTTTTAAATTTTATTCATAAAGTCAATTTAATACAGAAATCAAATAATAAAACCGTCTTCAACTGTAGATCTTATGAATGGAAAATACAAAACTTTTAAACTCAAAACAATTTTAAAAAAAGCTTAAAAATGCATAAAGCTTCATTATAGACTTAAGTAATGTGTTCATTAAATGACAAAATTGACTATAGTCTATGCTATTAGGTCTTTAATAAATTATACATATATTAAATTATTATCAATCTATATTCTAAACAAAATTTTTATAATCGCATGTACGACTAAATGTAATATGAAATTATTTAGCTATATTTAATTTTATACCATTATTAATACATCAACTATGAAACCTACAAGTCTTCATGATAAAAATATAGGATTAGTTTACCCATAAATACAGTCCCGTTTAAGATAAAAAAAAAAAACTGTCCAAAATCAGAATTTCTAGGAATTATTGAGCATTAAAACCAAAAATCATATAATTTTTGGTAAAATTAGTATATTCTGAAGTGTTTTGGATAACAATATCCGCACCATTCATAGCTAATTTAAATTTGAGGTGTTTTTAAGTATTATGTGATTAAAAAAAGTACATTCCCAAGATTTTTGTTCTATGAGTATAACTATAATGATATAATTTTGGATGGATAAGACAAACCACCGCTATAATTATTTGAATAATACATAGATCAAAATAAAATTTTCAATGGTAATATTTCATATAAGTACCTTACTTTTAATATATTTTTTTGATAATTCTTTTATTAACCAATGTATTAATGTACCTAACCATAAGAAAATAAAAATGATAAAATTTTATATGATTAAGTATATTTAAACGGATTAGTAAAGATCAACATTAAAAACATACATAATTAAAAATTTCTTAATCCATTAATACACTTGATAATATAATGAAACTATAACTGACTTAAATAATGGAAAATAGTAAAGTTTTAAAAAAAATAATATATTATAATTAATATTTACTTTTAATTAATTTATTGGTTTGCATTTGATATTTCTATATAATTAAAGTACTTTAAATTATACATTAATAAATTAAAATCCTTTACGATGAATATAGAAATTCTTTAACACAGTTTTGTTATTTAATAAAAACAAAATTATAACAAATAACTGAATTAATATAAAAATCTGCTGCCTCATAAATAAAATGGTTTGTTTTTTTATTTAACAATTTAAAAAAAGAATAATTATAAGTTATAAAGTTGTAAAATAGTGCTCGCCTACTATTGATAAATTATCTAATAAGTAAAAAATATATATTTTATATTTCATGATACAGATTGTTTATAGTTATTTTTAGTTGACAATATTATCACTATTAGCTTTATTAAAAATGTCAATTACTACACAATAAGGGATGAAACCAATGAAATAACTAGCTGTTGCTATTTTATTATTTATATTTTAACTTAAATTAGTGGTTGTTTTAATATTCAGCTAATACTACAAACATTTAAACAAAAAAATAATTACTGTAAGTAGTTAAATTAATAATTATTATACAGTTAAAAAATAACCTCATTTTTACTGTTATAAAATATTAGATATTCACAAATAGTTAATAAATATATTGATATAAAATATTCAATTTATACCCTACAGAATAAAAAATAATTTATTTTTAAAGGGATATTTACAAATCATGTTCTCAATTATACTAACTTTAAATTTTACTCTGTCAATAATTTTCAGAGATATAAAGTAAATAGTCTTATCATCTAAAAATTATACCTTATTTTGTTTAACAATGTTTTAAAACTATAAAATTTTACATATATTACAATTTGAATGTATCAATTTATTTGTCACACAACTTAGAGTCAATGCCATTAATGTGAAAAAGATATTGTTTATAAAAAACTGATTAATGGCAACCACAGCTCTTAACAATCATATTTTTATACTTTTTTAATATGACATTATTATCCTCCAAAAAAAATAAAACTGCTTGTTGAGCCATTTTTGTTGGTGCACAACATGGTTTTGGTACTTGAAGTGGGCTCATTAAATGAACTAATGTCTGAACAATTGCATGATTAGTAGCATTCATGTGAGCATTGAGTGGAAAATTGCATTCTCCAGTACAGTAAAATGCACCATATCCATCAGGAGCAATTATCCAATCCTGTAAAAACAATAAAGTATATATTGTTATATTAAGTAGTACAAATAGTAATAAAATCTGGTATGTTTAACTCTTTCAAACCTCGGGAGTAACGAGATAGCTTTTCTTTAATTTTAGAGCACTTAAATCACAGAAAGTTAAGATATTTCACATGTTGATTTGAGATAAAATTATTATTTTTAAAAGCTTATTAGATCTAAGAATTTAAATACTAACATTTTGAGAAAAATTTTTTTTTTGACATTTGAACAAATCTCAATTCTAATGAAAATCAATTTTTTATATTTAATTTTTTTAAATAATTAAATGATACCTATTAATTTTTTAATAAACTGATCTATAAATCATCCTTAAATATTTTATTTGTTTGAATTAAAACAACAATTCAAGGAAGCTTCCAAAGTGATTTTATAAAATAAAATTTTAGTAAAATTATTTAAATTTTTTAATATTTTTGATGGTCATTATATTTAACAAGAATGTTTTTAAAAGTACAATTTTATTAAATAATTCAGTTTTGCATGAATTTCTTAGCTGATGGCGATGCTACCCTCCCTGGCTACGACAATGACATTAAGTCTATAAATCCTATTTCCTTAGTGCCTGCATGTTTTAAAACAAATATTGAGAAAAACTATTATATATACTTGGTAATACAATGGAGCATAATGAAATACTATTGCAATGAATTAACTAGGCACCATTCTTAATATATCATGCAAATTTAGAGATCTAATCAAAATCTCCCCTAAATCATGTATTTTTTATATCGGTAGTTAAAACTTTAAAGCTAAAAAATGTCTAACAGGTAACTACAATCAAATTAAGAAAAATTATTTTAAAAATATAACTTTATTAAGATGCTATTACAATGTAAATAAAATTATGTACTTACTTGCCATTCAAGATCCCTAAAACTAACATATAATGTTTGTATTTGACAACTTTTAGATTGAAAACCATCTGCAAAATCTGAAATCAATTAATGAAATTAAATAATAAATAATTAAGAAAAAACTTATTTATAAAAACTAATAATGAATTTTGTATGTTAAACATGTAATCAACACCTCAATTATATTTCAAAACATTATGAATACTATAATACAAATAGAATTATTAAAAACGAATATATTAGATATACTTTTAATACAACTCAAAGTATATGAAGCTTTACTTATTAATAAAAATTATATTTTACTTACTTTGAAAAGGATTTGAGTTATAACTACTTTCAAAAGTTTTTCTTCTATGTCTTCTATATTGTTTTTGGAAAGAAAGCCCACCAACTATATTACCACCATTTATGGCTTTTAAATAAACTACCATAAATGGTTTTTTTGCTTCTGATAATTGATGCTTATCAGCCCAAGTAACCATACCAACATCTTCTGGTTTTATTTCATGATCTAGTAAAAAATTGAAAAATAATATAACTACTTTGCAATTTAGTAAATCCTTTCTAATTTGTTTTTCAGTAAAATATAAAATTAAAAAATTTCAAAAACATAAGAAAAGTTAAAATTAGTCATCAAATGTAAAATTATTACCAAAAATCAACATAATGTTTTTAAAATAACAATAGTTATCAAGATGAATTCTTTTATTTACTTGTATAGAAATAAACAATATTTTTTTTAGTAAATATAAATATTTTTATTTTATTAATTAACATTTTAAATATAACCCATTACCTTAATTAAACTCATTTAGTAACAAACAATAATTATTAATTTTAATACTTACCTTCTTTATCAAATGAATGAACTGATACATACAATCCTCGGTTGGGATATAAATAATGTGTCCATGATATTAAAGCACCAGTAACATTAAATCGAAGCCATCCACTATAATCACTAGTTGTATTTTGAGTGTCAACAAATCTCAATGCTTTTTCTCTTTAAATAAAATAATTATATTGACCAAATTAAATTAGATTAAAAAATAAATAATACAAAAGTTAATTACTTGATAATATAGAAAATAATAAATGGTTGATTATGTTTTGATGAATTTATACATTTATTATTAAATTTAATAAAATGAAGGAAATTTGATATTTCATTACTTGAGAAATAATACAACAAATTCCATACAGATATAATAGAAACTATATCATTTTGATTGAATAATGAAACCTTTGTATTTTTATACAATATATTTATTTTGAAATAATTTTCTACCTAATTATTATTTTAATATATAAAAAATAATTTTTAATATTTCTCAATCAAAAATAAAATTTTGCTTGCTTCATTTAATTGTTGCTAATAAACAACAAAAAAAGAAGAAAATATAAAACAATAATGATTAAACTATTATTGAATAACCTTATGAACATATTGTCTAAATAGAGTTCTATTATGACTACTCCCATTATCAACATAATGTAGCCATCATCTATCACCTACCCCATAATACATGAGACTTTGTATTCACGAGTATTTTAAATATTTACCATATATATAAAATATATTTGTTTTAGCTTCGATGCAAAGCTGAGAAGGTATTGGTTTTACTATGATGCTATTTGTGTGTGAAAATTCTCGATTTTATATTTTACATTTTTAACTTTATAATGCTATAACTTATTAAAAAGTGTAAGGATCAACACAATTTTTTTGAGAAATAATATTTATATCCCTTTTTCATTTGACATACTTCATCTTAATCAGGATATAAATAAGGAAATATCAGATCATGTAGCTTTTGGAATAATCCACCAATTTTTTAAAATTAAACACTATCTAAAGATTTGCATCAAAGCGTTTTTTATGATAGTGATTTTAATCACTGTCAGATATCATTATACTTTATCCAACTATGCCGTGATCCCCCTGTGCTGGGTTTTTATTTTTAATCTGGCCATTATATTACCAGACTATGGTTATATAGCATTATATTCAGGTTTTATGATCATATAATAACAATAAAGCATGGACATATTTATTTGTTGTACTCATTATTCAGCGCATTTTGAAAAATAATAGATAAAAAACTTATAGGTAATTTATAATAGATAATTTCTAATTAATTTTGATTAAGGCTGCTGAAGCCAATTCTCATATATTTGTACTATTTTTTAAGATAGTTGGGTAATAGTTATAAAGAAATCACTAAAAGAAGAATGGCTACTTTATTTAAAAACAATCAAATAAATGCCAATAAAAACTAATTTAATATTATATAAGATCATGATAGAGCTATGTGTGTGTGAAACATGGACAACCAAACAAAGATTTGCAGTATTTGAAAGAAAAATATTACAAAGGATAATAAACTCTAAAATAAATTGGTGGAGTGATCTGGTGGTTGTGGCAAATCGCCTATATTAATCCAGAAAAAAAATATTTTGTTAATGTAGAACAATGTTACATTTTAAATTTTTGTAAGCTAGAAACAAGTTTATTATACAAAGTGATTTATTAAATTCATTAAGGATAAGACAATTATTTTCTTGGAAACTATTGAAAATCTCAAATTTTTGTGAGGAAATAATTTAAAAAATACTCTACAATAACCTGTAGTTATATTTTTTTTCATCCTTTTATGTTTAAAAAACAAAAACATAAATTGTCTTTAAATCCTTACAAATATGCAAATAATTTTGTCCTTATAACTTTTTTTTTTTTTATCCGATTGACTGTTAGTGTTTTACAATCTTTTAAATAATTGGATTTAAAATACAAATTCATCATTAATTTATTTTTAGAAATTTTACATCACAGGCAACAATAATCTATTCAATAGTTCATAAATTATATTATTTACCCATTATCTTTGATTAAAACTTGATATAAAGTCACAGCAAATATTTTTCCATCAGAAAAGTTACCAGATTGATATAAATGGATTTCTGCTGAAGTCACAATGTGTGTTTCTTCAGTAGGTATGTCATTTAATTCAAATAGAATTCTTTTGCCGTGTTCATGCCTCACATTACTTATTGGTGCTAAAGATATATATATACATATATATTTAAACTCTTACTAAACTTAGAAATAGATTAAATAAATAAAATTCAGTAATATGCAAAAATTAATTATTTAATAAAATCTATATTATTTATCCATGAATGTACAAGAAATCATGAAAAACCCAATCTTAATATACAGAAAAGAGCTAATGTAAATACTTACAATGAGTTGACAAATATAAAGTTAAAATGACATCACTATCTTGAACAGTACGATCATCATAAAGGCCAATATCTGAAACACTTCTAGTTTTTCTGTTTAAAGAACCATCTTGTTGAATAGATCTGTAAACATCAAATAAAAATTGTGGAGCTGATCCTTCTAAGTTTTTAGGTGACTTCCTTGGTTTTTTTGGAACGCCGAACATATTAAGTATCTCTTTTTCGACTTCATTGCGTTCTTCGATAGTCATGAGATCTTGTTTGACTGTTTGTACACCATTATCCAAATAAATTCCTGTCGGTGATTTTGCTTTTACATTAAATATCACTATTATAAACAGTATCAACGTATATAAAATATATTTTATTTTAACCATATTGACTTATTTTAGCTCGAGACATAAAATGTATTATTTTTCATACAAGAGACAGCAGAAAAAATGATTAATACCAGCCTCAAGCTAACACCTGTGTCAAATAATAGATTTTAAAACAATAAAATATATAGTTCTTTATATTAACCCGCGCATTGATTAACATGCCAAATAACTTATTATATTTATTATATTTGAATCTACAAGTGATAAGAAATTCATTGGTTTCCAAAATAAACAAATTGTTTAACTTCGTTGCGTAGCTGAGAACCTATTGGTTTTAATTAATCGTGTTTTTTTATTTACTATATATACTATTACTCTCGCTCTTATTAGACCGATTTTGATCAACAATATGTCAAAAGATCACATAACATATCTAGTTAAAACTATCAGTGCAATAATTTTGTAAAATTCCCTTCATACCCGGTACTATAAGGAAATGTCCCAAAAAATTACAGTTATTATAAAACAGTCATTGTTGACGTCTTGTTTTTACTATGTATTGAAATACCTTTTTGAAAACTATAAGGATTATTGCGATATTTTTATTGTTAATACTTCAACCATTAACCTTAGTACTACTGTGCGAGATTAAAAATCGTGTACAAATTTGTTTTGTTTCTAAATTGAAATTTGGAAACATATTTTATAATAATCTCAATTAACACTATATTATCACATTTTTTAATAATATTTAAAAACACCTGACTTCTTTAAATAGACTTTCAAACTAATACATTTTACTTCAATTGTCCGAAATGACAATTTCTGAGATTTATTAAAATTAAAATATTTCATTAAAACAAAAAATCATAGTTTTTAGTAAAATTAATCTATTTTGAAATCTAACAAAAAGCTGATACCATTCTAAATTATTTCAAATTAAAACTTGTTTAATATATGGTTAAAATAAGAAAAACCTTTTGGTAATGTATCCTCTTTAAGAAATCAACTTCAAGACAATGGTCTTATATTATTTTTCAAAAACAAAACCTGTTAGTTATAAAGTCAAGAAATAAGGATCTATAGCCCCTATTTTATTACATTCTAACTAAAGGTTAGTTTACCTAATCCGTTATATGGATTTTACCATGTTTCAAAATACTATAAAAAAATGTATAATATAGAAATACTAATATTATTTTATAATATCACTTTAAAAATTACGGACTACATCACATAGCAGTCTTTCAGCACTGTAGAATATTATTCTATTTTTAGCATTTATCTTGCAATGCAATTAATAAAAGAAGGACAGATCTATAAATATAAGGTCATTATATTATATATACATTATATAAATAGTTAAAAAAACCTATACTACCTTTCTCTAATTACAATCCTGGTGTACTCACCAGCGATACATAAAAAAATTTTGTTAGTTTTTATATAGGAAATAAATGATAAAAAAATTTATGAACAAATATTTTACCTAGAATAACTTTTGCAAAATCCTCTAGAAATAAAAACAAATTTTGAATTAAAAATAGTTTAAAAAAGTATATTTTTATATTAGCTCTTAAGTATTTTTCTATCTCTATTACGATTTTTAACATTTGTAACTTCATAAAAATCACTTCCAACTTTCTTCCTTTTATTTCGTAACATTAAACTTCTCTTTTGTTTGCTTGTTAAACTGTTCATATATGCTTCACGAGCTTCTAGCAATTTGACTTGTTTTTCATTTTTTCTTTCTTCTTCCTCATCACTATCTGTTGATGTTGCATTTTCATCTTCTTGATTTGGTAAATTAGCAATATTTTCAGCTTCTTCTTCAGAATCATTTTCCTCAACAACATTTAAATCTGCTCTTTTAGTGATAGGTTCATGTTCCTTTTCATTGGTAGATAATGGTATTTCAAAACCAGGAGGTACTTTATAATAAGGAATTTTCCCTCTCTGCCAATCATTTAGAACCATTCTAGCACAAAGGGTTATATCAGCTTCTCCACCCTTTAATAATTTACCTGTTTTAGTACCCAATTGTGATAGAAAATCTTCACCGTCATCCCAACTAACAATTCCATATGTTTTAGATAAATGTTCATCTTTGACTCTTTCCATTAATGAAGATATGTATTGAACTGGATCTGGTACAAGTTCTACTCTAACAACACCCTTCAATACTTTTTCAGTATCAGTTTCTGTATTAGTTGCATCATAAACTACTCCTGGGCAGTCAATAAGAAATATTCGTTTCATCAATGTAATATATTGCCATACTTTGGTTTCACCAGCAATAGGAGCAACTTTGCAAACCTTTTTTGAACGCAGAGCATTAATAACTGAACTTTTTCCTACATTTGGGTATCCAATAAAACCAACACTAATTTGTTTTCTCTCTGAATGCAATTTTGTAAACTGTCGTAGTAAATTAATTACAGCACCTTTCCCAAATGGATGTGTTAAGGATGCATGAAATGCTATAGTAGGATATTCTGAACTAAGTACAGCTACCCATCTTTGAGTAACCCATACTGGTACGAGATCAACTTTATTTAATACAAATATCAAATGTTTGTGCGGTTTTTCTTTTTTCAAAAAATTTTCAATATGAGCACAACGTGTACCAGGAGGATCTCTGACATCAAGAACCATTATAATTACATCTGATGAGTCAATTACTTTGTATAACTCATTCCATATACGTCTACTTTGCCCAGCAGCCATTATCCAATCACGAGGTGCCTTTTTTTCTCCTGTATCTTCACGAACTAAGTCCAAATCTTTATCATCTGAATAAGACTCATTAATAGTATTTACTGTGTCAGATAAATGTTGTTCATCTCTTACAATCAAATTTGGACGTTTACGGGTTTTTTTAGAGCCAAATACGCTTTCAAAACTTTCAGTTTCAAGAATATGAACACGATCGTGTTTCTTTTTTTCATTTAATAGTGTAATTGGTAAACCAGTTGGCTTCATGATTATATCATATGGATTACGTACAGCTTTACCAAGTTCTTCTTGAAACTTCTGTAGGGCATTTTGTCCAATAACTCTAGTGTTATCAAACCATTTACGATTTGGTTCAACACGAGCTTGGGTACCACATGGCAACCAACCTTGAAATGGTGCAGCTTGAATTATTTTGCCTTTTCTATCACGTTTTGCTTTAAAATTTCTATACATTTGAAGTCTTTTAATAGTTGCTTTAGTCCTAACTTTTGCAACACCTTTTAAATTATCAGTTTTTCTTTCTGGATTCATACTGTGACTAGACCTATTAAACCCTTGGGTTCGAGGAGCTTTACTTGTAGAACTTGATTTTGCCATTTTATTAATTATCTATTAACAAATTTTAAACACCATAAAAAATTATTATTATAATATTTTTAAAGTATTTAGAATACCTTAAAAATAAAAAAAATTATTAAAATACTTTATAAGATTGTAAATACCATGAGTAGCCACATGATCTATAGAACATTAGCTAAACTATATTTGGAACAAATAAATTTTTACAAATAAAATTATAAATTTTGGAGCTTTAAATTTATAATTGATTTATTAAGAGTAAATTTTACAATAACATTGTTTATTTTTTAAATAATACATATTAAAAATATTGCTTATACAATATATGCTATCGAGTAACTTATATACCTATTGAAGTCTTAATCCAGCCCAAGAGATATGATTAAATAAAAGACGTATAATGTAAATTATACACTAAGAGAACATCATTACTAAGTTGATTCAACAGTCAATAAGTACAGGTTAAAAATTATTTAATTAAAATTAAATGAAATTATTACATGGAATTGAGATTCAATATTAAAAAAATTATCATTTTTTTTTCTTATAATATAAATTACTGAACTCTATGAATCTCATCCCAAAATTTGAAGTTAATAGAATTGTTTTTTTTTTAATAAATAAATAATCACATTACCTAGTCTGAAAAAAAAATATATTCAGTAGTATACTGTTAACTCTTGAATAAAATTTATAATTCAGGATAAGGCAGTGAAACGGACCTGATTTTACATCTAGTGATATTTTTGTAAAAAGATAGGCTTTAATACGAGAAAAAATAACACTCAATGAAAATTTAACGTTTTTTAAAAAAAAACTATGAGAAAAGATGAAACTTAATTATCATTAAGCTTAATTAAAAAAAAAGGCATTGAAGAGTATAACTCATAAAATATATAATTAAAAATGCTTTTCAATATACTTTCAATTTATGAAAAAAAGTTGCCTAACTTTTGTAGTTATTTTAAAATCACTCTTTTCGTTGCGCGACTCATAATATTCAAACTACTATATGTTTTATAATAATACTTACTATGTATATATAAATATTATATTCTTTTTTTAATAAATAAATAACTTGTAGCTACAACCATGTGCACATTATTTAACTTGTTAACAAGAGCTATGATAATAATATGTCATTATCATAGCTATATAAAAATAGTCTATGTTATTACCATAGATCTTATAAACATGGATAAGACATTGATGCGTTATCAGTGAACATTATGGTGATAATAAATTGAGGCTATTTGTTTGCATTATTACATGATAAAATTTTACTTTTTATTATTTAATAGTTAGTAATAACTAATTAGTATGAGTTATTTATTTTATAATAATATAAAAGTTATAATTTATAACTTATTAAAAAATTAGAAAATAGTATCTTATGTGCTTATTACAATTAAAATATAAACAAACGGCCTTACATTCATATCAATTCATGTCAACGAAAACACAAGTACCTCAATTATGAATGCCCTATCCATGTTTATAAGATCTATGGTTATTACACTTGATAATAAATAATCAACAAGCACACTATTTTGATAATTCCACTTATTAATTCGCAAACGTTACATGTATGGGATATTAAAATCTTCTATTGTATGTACCATGAAAAATTGCTGATCTTGTCACTGTGAAAAAGTTATGAAAATTATAATAAAATAAATTAATATTAAAAAACTCCAGCACAGGGGGGTCGTGGCTCAGTGGTGACGTGGCATAGTTGAATCAAGTATAATGATATCTGACAGTGATTAAAAACGCTTCGATGCAAATCTTTAGATTGTGTTTAATTTAAAAAAAATTGGTGTATTATTCCAAAAGCTACATGATCTGCTAGTTCCTTATTAATATTTTGATTAAAATAAAGTATGTCGAATGAAAAAGGGATTATTAAAAAATATTATTTGTCATAAAAAAATTGTGTGGATCCATAAACTTTTCAATAAGTTATAGCATTATAAAGTTAAATATAATATAAATAATAAAATCGAGAATTTTCACACGAAAAAAGCATTCGGTAGCCATTTTCGCCATGAAGACAAGTCCAGAGGTCAAATTTTTTTTTTTCAAATTAAAGTATATTACATTAGCTTTAATTTAAGATATATATAAAAGTGTCAGACCTTCCGGAACATTTTCAAAAATCAAGTTGAAAAAAATAATTTTGCAAATCTTTAGATAGTGTTTAATTTTAAAAAATTGGTGGATTATTCCAAAAGCTACATGATCTGTTATTTCCTTATATACAGAATGATCCATTTAACATTGACCAGCAAATATCTTATCTTATCTAATATGTGTCTTTACGAGCCATCATAACCGCTGCAATTAACTACCTGTATTACAAGTCTACCCGTTTTATACATATATATAAGTAAAAAAAATTAAAACTTTAAAGTGAAATAACATGCAAACTAATCGACTTAAATGAAAAATTCAAACGCTAAAAATTATAAAAAAAAAAACCCTATCAATATATCTAACTAAAAATATATGTTTCCATTTGAAAAAAAAAAGTTGGTACCCTTTTAAGGCATAAGGGATGAACCTAAAAATTATCTGATCATGGATAAATGTAGAGTTTTATGTAACTAAAATAATTTAAAAAAAAAATTATTAAAATAATAAATAGTTTTTGAGATATTTGCTGGTCAATGTTAAATGGATTACCCTGTATATCCTGATTAAGATAAAGTATGTCAAATGAAAAAGGGATATAAATATCATTTCTCAAAAAAATTGTGTTGATCCTTACACTTTTTAATAAGTTATAGCATTATAAAGTTAAAAATGTAAAAAATAATATCGAGAATTTTCACACAAAAATAACAATTGGTAGCCATTTTCATTGTGAAGACAAGTGCAGAGGTCAAATTTTTTTTTTTCAAATTAAAGTATATTACATTAACTTTAATTTAAGATATATATAAAAGTGTCAGACCTTCCGGAACATTTTCAAAAATCAAGTTGAAAAAAATAATTTTTTGTGAAAATGTTGTCATTTTAAATCCCTCCTGTGGGCAAGTAAAGGGTCACATATAAAAAAAATATATACCAAATGAAAGGTAATGATATTATGCATCTATATAAAAAAGAATTATATTGATATGTTCATTTTTGAAAAAGTTATGGCACTTTTAAGTAAGAAAAATTGAAAAAATTTCGAAAATTAGCGATTTTTAAATTTGTAATTTTTTTGGAGGTTTCCCCCATTTACGGGGAACGAGGGAATTTTTTTCAATTTTTGAGGGTAATGTCTTCGACTAGATACGATTTGTGATCTTTTGACGTATTGTTGAAAGAAATCCGTTCGGTGAGAGTTGAGAAAAAGTGGTAACAGACACAAAAAAAAAAAACACATCGTAGTAAAACCAATACCTTCTCAGCTTCGCATCGAAGAAAAAAAAACTGATAAAATCCTATTAAGAACTTTTTTTAGAGGAATTTGAGGTATTAAATATTTTTTTATACTTTAATGTGTATAACCTCAAATTTACAAAAAAACATTGCCTTTGTGAACATCTGAAATGTTTTCGACATAATTAACGGAACACTGATAAGATTGAAGCTGATCGATCTTATCTTCTAAGGCCGTGGTCTTTGGGGTGTGTATAGCATATATTCTGTGTTCAAAAGGTAGCCAAATAATAATTTAACCCAATCTCAATTTAGCTGAACATAAGTATTCAAAAAAGTATTTGAGCATAAATAATTAATATAATCGCAAAAACATTGTTAAACGTACATTTAATATATTATAATTTGATAAATGACGATTAAATTAAAATTTGTTAATTATTGATTAAGTGTTTATTAACTCTTTATAGGATTTTAACAATTACTTTTTAGTAATAATTTATATATATTTTATAAATCTGACCCTTCACGTGCCCACAGGGGGGGGATTTAAAATGACAACTTTTTCAACTTAACTTTTGAAAGTGTTCCGGAAAGTCTGACACTTTTATATATATATTAAATTAAAGCTAATGCAATATACTTTAATTTGAAAAAAAAATTTTGACCTCTGGACTTGTCTTCACAATGAAAATAGCTTCCGAATGCTATTTTTGTGTGAAAATTCTCGATTTTATTTTTTACATTTTTAACTTTATAACTTATTGAAAAGTGTATGGATCAACGCAATTTTTTTATAAGAAATAATATTTTTATATTAATATTAATAGAGTATTTTTTGAGTAGTTTTGGAAATTAAAAAGCACAATACTAAAAATTATCCTATTTTACCAAAGTATCGATGCATAGATATAGAGCAAGAATTCTAGATTTTAAAAATATAATTTTTTTTTTCAGCGGACAAAAATAACTGTGCATAAGGTTAGTAAGACTCAAAAAATACTCTATTTTATTAAAACAATCATTACTTGGTCAATAAAAATATTTTCATTCGACTTTTTTTTTAAAAATACCTTTGACCTAAACTATTAATAGAAAAAAAATTTTTAATTTGTTAAAAAAGTTGACAATGAAATATCTTTTTTATGTTAAAATAACCGTAATATAACCATATCTAAACTTCAAATGGTTATAAATAACCACCGGATTAACATGTGACCTTGAAATTTTATATATTGTCTAAGCAATATACATGAAATGAGTTTTCATAATTATTTTAATATTGTGAGTACATTTTAAAATGGGACTTATGAGAGTCTAATTTTGTTTACAAGCCACTGTGCGATGGGTTAATTTGGTTTATGATTGGTTTATCAATATTTATTAATATCAATTATCATGAATTATCAATAATGTTAACATAGAATCTGTGATATTACAATCTTATACCGGTCTTAAAATTAAAATTTATTGAAGTAGGTATTGAGAGACAAATAAATGTTATGTATATTGTAGAAGCTTAGAAATTAAAATTATGTCATATAAGACATGCCCAATTTATTTTCACATAAATTAATTGTTTTCATTATATGTAACAATTTGTTGTTAATAACTTCTAGTGAGAAATTAAAAAAAAACGTATTGTATAATATTGTCATGCTATTAAAATGATAATAGGTAAGTTGACAGTAATTAATTTTATCTTTAAAAGAAATATATATAAATATTATTTAATAAGTTTTTATTATGGGTAAAAATATTTACAATGTTACACAATAAGTAAATTATTGAATTTGTACATGACTGCTAGATAATAAGAGGTAGGCTCATATTAGAGTCACATTTACAATGAAGAAAAAAAAAATAGAATACTATATATTTGATTAGCAAATAATTTTCTATTGTGGTAACATGTCTCTGCACTAATGACAAGCATAGCGATGAGTTGGATTTCCAGAACAGGTTTTGATACCTAAATAGAAAATAATTTTATTCTAATGGTTCTTAAGTTTGATGTAGAATCTTAAGTAATAACAAGTAATTATTTCTTAAATTGTAAAGCTTTTGAGGTAAACATATAGTTGATTATTAGTTACAAACTAAGAAACTTATGAGATGAACAATATTTTGGAAAGCCTGGATTGTCTTTATATTTAATTTTTTTGCAGATCCCCATAATGGGATGCCATAAGATTAGATAGGTTAGAGAAATTACTTGTATAATATAAGTTTGTTTGACCACCTGCAAATGCAGGTGGTTTTTAAGTTTTTAAACAGATTTCAAGTAAACATTTAGTCAAATAAAAAACCTAGATAGTAAATTAAATTTTTGTATGAGATAACTATATTATTAAAAAACAAACTTGATGGGCAATTTCATTGTCTTGGGGGACATCAACACATATATAATAAGTATTAAAGTGAATAGTTCCAAAGTTTGAATTTATGGCTTTTAAGTAAATGCTTTAATTTGTTAGTGAAATAGACTTTCCACAAAAGAAAAAACCTTGTTGTATTAGCAGAATAATGAGTTTTACCAAGTATTTTTTGGACTGTGTTTTTTAGCTATTAATTCTTTTATTTATTTTACTTTTTGCAGTGAAAACTTTAGTTATTAATGAAACCATGCTAGTTTCATTTTCTTGTATGGTTTATAAAGTTATTATAGTTTTAAACTCCTGCACAAAACTAAAAAAGAATTGGTTTTGGTATGATGTATTTTTTTAAATTAATGTCTTACCTATTACAGTTATAATATTTATTATATGACGTACTATCTTTTAAGTTTCATAAAATTAAAAAAATTTATTATTATAAGATTTAATGTTTCAATCAATTTAATTTTAATTTCTGCTTTTAATTTTAGGAGATTTAAAATCAAATTCAATATTAAAAATTTTGATTCATAAAAATTAATAGTGTGATGGAAAGTAGAGATTGGCCTTTATTCATATATGGTGGTGTGGCATCCTGTATTGCTGAATTTAGTAAGTTGATTTTTAACTTAATAGCCACCATGAATGGTTACAATAATACAATAATTTAACACTGAATTTGGAATGAATGCATTCATTTTTTAATGAAATTAAAATTTATAAGTACATTCAATTTTTATAAGAATGCAATACAAAAATAATGTGAAATGCATTTATTAATGTTATAAAAAATGAACTTACAATTTTAATAAAAATATAATATATTATTATTACTCTACAAAACAATGCTTTCTAATTTTGCTATGTGATTTTTATCATATATTTTCCCATTAATTTCAATGCTGTAATCAAAAACTATACATTTTGCACCAGTATAGAAATAGTAATTTACATAATATTACTATTTTACTGATTTTATGATAAAATTGATAATTTATAAACAAATACTAATTTTTAATGGATTAAATTTCAGTACATTTTGTGGATAGATTTTTCTAGTCATTTATGACAGTATATTCATTTGTTTATTTTTGTTATTTAATTGTATTTTGTTAAGACAAAAAATAAATAAAGGTTTCAAATGGTCTATGACAAGTCTTTTAGTATTTAAACTTTATTATTTATTATGAACATGAGACTGTTTGATTTATTTAATTTTTATATTTTATTCAGTGATTATGATAAGTCTTACTTTATGTAAACTTTTAATTAACTAAGTGTAACATCTTGCTATATTATAATATTTAATATTTATTGTAATTCAAAATAGACTTCTTAATTATTTAGTTTTCATAACAAATATTTATGATTATACATTAATAATAATAATTTTTAATTTTGTTTTATTTATTAATTTTTATTAGCAACATAAGAGATACTAAGAATAATCTACTCACAATATTGGACTGAAGTTACTTTTTGATTACCTTTTTTTTTCTTATAATTAAAAACTTTGGAGTTGTGTCCATTTTAAGAATATAATAATAGTGGGTAAAATTTAATGAGAAAATAGGGTCCCTTTTATCATTAATTATAAACTGTCAAGTTAAATAATTTTTTTAAAGAACTTGAATAAGAATGCATTAGTTTTTTCAAGTAAATATTCCAAACGCTAATTTAACAGTACTATTGTCTCAACATAGTTTTATTTAATCATTCAGTAAAAATTACATGTATAATTATTATATAGGCACATTTCCAATTGACACGACTAAAACAAGACTCCAGGTTCAAGGACAATTACTTGATGGTAAAAATACTAAAATTAAGTACCTTGGTATGGTAGACGCTTTCAGCCAGATTTATAAACAAGAAGGATTTTTTTCATTATATTCTGGGTATTTAATTAAAATGCAATTGTTATTCTATAGTCTATACTAATAAAAGATTTAAATAATGTAATAAATATTAATTTATTTTTGTAAATATTTAGTAAGAATTGTTTTTAAGACTAGGATACTAAACAAATTTCTGGGCTTAGGGTACAATTTAAAAATATATTATAACATAGAAATGCTGAAAATAAACTGATCATGTCAAAGAAGAATGTAAATTAAGCTCTTTATGATCATTTTATACAATGGGTAGTTAGAAATTACAATGACATGATATTGATTTTTTTTATTCAAAGCTGAGTTATTTGTTGTGTATTGCTGATTAAAAATTCTATTCTTAAACATATGAGGTGTGGTCAGAAAAGAATAGGAATATTCGTTTTATTGAAAATTATTATCTATATTTATGTTGTTGGTTTCAAAACCAATCGATATTCCAACATATCAGTGACTTCTCTGAATGATATTTGGCGATAATTCATATTTCCATTTCTTTCACTTTTTCCACGTTTTCATCAGTTGTTGATGTGCTGGGGTGTTTGTCATTTGCAATGTCTTCATAGCCATCTTGGAAACCCTTATAGCACTGTTAAACTCATGTTTTACTCAGGGCAGACTCACCATAGGTCTTTGTTAACATTTCACACATTTTTTAACACTTTATTTCATTTTTTGCGCAAAATTCGATACAAATCCTTTGATCCATTTTTTTTACCAAACAAAAATCGCCAAGCTCATAAAATACATCTAACCTTAGCAGCTACCACTGACAAAGTAAAAAATGAAATTTAAAAATTCCCCTTATTTTCTGAACACACCTCGTATATTATTAATTACTACAGATTTTTTAAGAATAATCAATTTAAACTTAATCACTAGTTAAAATAGGTGACTTTACAAGAAAACATCTCTTTTTGTAGTTTAATTATTTAGTAAATTTAAAGAAAAAATTTCAATATTCTTAAGATATATTGTAGAATTATCTCAAATTATTCCATGTAAAAAATGTTTAAAAGAAATTATTTTTTTCAATTAGAATAAGCCCTGCATTAATTCGACAATCAACTTATGGTACAATTAAGTTTGGTACTTATTATACACTAAAACAAGCAACTAATGAATATTTTGGTGTTACTGAAGATGTAGCGGTAAATTTTGGTTGTGCTGTTTCTGCTGGTATAATTTCAGCTTCCATAGCAAATCCTACTGATGTCCTTAAAGTTAGATTACAAGCTTTGGGTGAAACACAGAAACCAAAATGCAACATCCTAAAGTGTTTTCGTGATATTTATGTTCAAGAAGGAATAAGAGGTTTATGGAAGGTATAAAATACAATATAGAACTTTTTCTTAGGATTTTAAGGTATTGAATTTTATTATTAGATTTAATAAGAGAATAGTAGAAATTAGAGAATTTGAGAGCCCAGGTAAATTGCATAGAAAAAAAAACACTGAAATCATAAATAAGTAAATTTTTATTAATTAAGTTGTTATTTTTTTTTAACTATGTTAAAATATTCTAAAAAGTATTTCATTTTTCATTCATTACATTTATATTATGTTTATTTTTTGTTTATCCATATGCCCTAANTTTATATTATGTTTATCCATATGCCCTAATAAACAATTTTAAAATGGATGATTAACTAGTTATTAGTCAGATGCAAATACCAAGATGACTGTAGAAACATTAGCTCTTGAAATTATTATTTTACCATTATTTGATTAGTTGATGAAAATGAAAGGTTCACTTCTAAAAAAATAAGTCATATGCTACCTAAAACATTAAAATGACTTTTCCTAAGATTTTCTTCTGAATCACATTTGATTCTAGTATGAAACTGTTTTGTCATGAATCATATGATATCAATAATTTTGAAATATATCGTTGTATTTTTTCTATAATATTGTACATTTCTTCTTCTTCTTCGCCTTAATCCCAACTACTTTGGGTTGGCCACCCTTATCCTAAACTTCCACTTGACATGATCTCCCACATCATCTACGCTCACATCAGCTGTCCTCAAAAATCGCATTCAATAGCATCTCTCCATCTCTTTTTTGGTCTTCCTCTACCTCTTTTTCTTTCAACATTCATTTCTATAACTGTTCTTACAGCTTCTGTCCTCATAACATGACCAAACCATCTAAGTTTATTTTCTCTCATCTTATCAACGATTGACGCTACAGTACAGTAGTGCTGCACATATGCTACACCTTTACTTCCTCTTATATGTCGATTCGTTATTCTATCTTCTCTAGTCACTACACTCATTCTATGCTCTACTTTCTTATCAACCGCCCAACACTCTGAACCATACATCATAGCTGGTCTCACTACAGTCTTGTAGAATTTACCTTTCAGCCTTATTGGAATTCTTTTATCGCATAAGACACCAGACGCTTCTCTCTACTTTAATCAACTGCACTTAATCCTGTGTCTTACATCCTCGTCAATATCACAGCTCTTTTTTGTACAACTGATCCTAAATACTTAAGACTCTCCACCTCTTCAATAACGTCCTCGCCTATTGTCACTGACCTCCTCATTTCAAATACCATACAAAGCTTTTTCTTTTTTTCCCCTAAACTTTTCTATTAGTTGTCTCACACAAAATAATGCCTCCATTGTTGAATTACCAGGCATAAATCCAAACTGGTTTTTAGATACCGATGTCTCATTTCTTATTCTTTTATCTATTACTTTTTCCCAAATTTTCATACTATGACTCATAAGCTTTATGCCTCTATAATTTCCACACTCCTGTATGTTATCTTTACCTTTAAATATCGGCACCACAATACTTTTCCTGCATTCATTTGGGATTTTTCCATCTAATAAGATTTTATTTAAAAGTTCCTTCAACCACCTTATGCCAACACCGCCTAATATTGTACATTTGTTAATTGAAATTAATAAAAATTAGTTACCATTAATTTTACTTCTTTTTTTACTATTTAAAAATCAATCTTATAGAATTAAAAAATTTTTTAATAAGTACAATATTTTATGCAAAGAATTATAAAAATTATGAAGCAAAATTCCTTTCTAGTTGTTAGTAAAGCTTTTTTATTTTTAGGGAGTTGCTCCTACATCGCAAAGAGCAGCCATAATAGCAGCAGTAGAATTACCAGTTTATGATTATTGTAAGCACAAAATGATGGCATTATTTGGGAACAATATTTTTAATCACTTTGTGTAAGTAAAGTTTGATTTGTACTTTTTGTCCATTATTTGTTTAAAAACTATAAGAATCAAATGAATAAAAATTTATCAAATGTGTTAAAACAGATATATATTAAACAAATTAAAAAATTATATTTTTAACAGATTAATAACTGTAAAAGAAACGGTTATACGGAATAATTATTCTTACTATTTTATTACTATAAATTAATTAAACATAATAGTTATAAAAATATGATTTTTGCAGTATGCTATTTTAATTTAAAATTATTTGTGCTTAGAAAGAATACAATGCTTAGTAAATTTAGATACTTATCAAATATTTTAAGTAGGCAACAAATAATATTGATATAAACTATAATAATTATAGGCTTATTTAGTAGACTCTCTAATAAAACAGCATTTTTATTTTAGATCTAGTCTGATTGCAAGTTTTGGAAGTGCAATAGCTTCAAATCCTATTGATGTTATTAGGGTAAATATAACATACATTAATAAAATTTTTAATTTAGGTAAATTTAATGAATAAAATATAAATTTGTTTAAAAAAACGTTGTTCATCTTAAAGAATCAAACTCATCATTCATACAAAAAAACATTCAGTTTTTAAATGTTTTTATTCAAATAAATAACAAGGGTTTCTTTAAAATCCCACAAAAATGCCAGACATGTTCATGATGCTAAAGTGCAATTTTATTCATGCTACAGCCAAAGAATATTATGCAAAAAAAAAAATTAGAAGTACTAAATAAAATTTTTATCCGTTTGTTATTTGTCTTAAAATCTCTAAAATAAAAACGAATATTAAATTAGTTATTCTTTAATAAATAAAAATTTTAAAGTTTAAGTATTTATATGGCTTACATATACTGTGGGTGTGGCGAATGCAAGACACCTAGCTTCACTGGCAGATAGTCTCAGGCAGATAATTCCAGTTATCTGACTAAGCCCCGGAATAAGGAGCAAACTCTAAAAACCAAGGACTGAAAGGGCAAATGAGTAGTAAGAGAAGGGCAAAAATCAATTATCGACCATGAGGATACAGAAGGCAACAGGATAACCACTGCATTAAAGATCTTTATGATATTCCTAAACAAAAAGTTGTTACTAATTCTCGCCAATAAATTTCTGTGTATAGGCATACGTAAAAGATATGTTAAAACATTTGTCAGGAACGTACTTTCATGTGGCTGTGAAACATGGACAATTAACAAAAAAGACAGAAGCAAACTAGAAGCATTAGTTATGGATATGAAGAAAAATGACAAAGACAAGATGGATAGACAAGAAAAAAAAATGAGCATAAACTAGAAGTACGAGAAGAAAGACATCTAATGAAGGTGATTGAATTAAGAAAAATAAAGTTAATCAGAAGGAACTTGGAAGAAACCAATAGGACACCCAAGATAACAATATTTTGAAAATATCCTGGAACTCATGAACTGTGTGCCTTTTGTTTCACTGAAGAATTTAGCGCCCAACAGAGAAGACTAGCTTTTCAACAAGGCATTGCCTTTAAAAGATGATGATTTTTATAAAATATTTTTTAAAAACAGATTTAAAATGTTAGAATGTTTTGTTGTTAACTAATTACAACAAAAATAAAACTTAAAAATTATCATTAAATAATTCTTCAAGTCTTATAGTATTTAAGTAATATCAATTAAAGTTACGATTATGGACGCAACTAGAATAAAATTTAGAGAGTCCTAAATTAATTTTTACACTTTCATTAAACAATATTTTTAAATAACTATATAAAAAAAATTTTTAAACTTGTTTTGGAAGTGGGTTAATGTTTGGAAGAATTGAGAATATTGTGAAATGATTGAGAAAGAAATATTGGGGGGGCTTGAACTTCCTAACCTCACACAGTTACACCAATAAAGAAAAGTTTGTATCCAATTTATTCATAATTCTATCTATAACATTAAGAATAATATTAAAAATTGGCGACATATTTTATACTTTTATAATCTATATTTTAAACATTTCTTGAAAATATTTATCAAATTGAACCTTGATATAAATATGGTTATAAAGTTTTGGAGCTGTGAGAGACAACAGAAATTTAACTTTGTATATAATGATTTATTATTAAATATAATATTAGTAGATAGTATTTAAATACTTTCACTTAGAAGTTACTTTACTTTGTTAAATAATGTAATAAAATAAATTATTTTTTTATTTTTATGAAATTTTCAAATAGCCATTTTTTATAAAAAAATTTTAATAGGTTAATAACTTTAGAACTAATAGTTATTAAGTTACAATCATTTTAATGCATAGCGTAGTTATGTAGCGTTGGTGAGTACAACTCTTAATGGTGTATACTTTTAACTCTTACCGTACTGCATACCAATTCCATGTATTAAAATGCTAATAGGTTAATAATTACTTATCTAGCTTAATGTAATTATAGACCCTTCATCATTTTTTGTAAGAAAAGAACTTAAAAGTGGCTATTTTAAACTTTAAATAAATTAAATTAAATCTTTATCTTATTTATTATTAAAAATATTAAATAACAAATGTTTTACACAGTCCAAGTAAGAAAAATTAATAGAAATAATATATTTTTTGGATCAAGTCATTAAATATGTCAAAATCTGCTAGGACACTGTAATTAAACACATAAATAAAAAAATTGTGATATCTCAATATACAATACTAAATTTATTTATTCTATGAAATATTAGTATTTTAAGGATTATTGATATAAATGTATTTTCGTTTTAGACTAGATTAATGAATCAAAAACATTTCAAAAGCAAAAGGAGTAATTCACACTATTTGTATAAAGGAAGTATTGATTGTCTATTAAAGGTAATCTTTTTTTTTTCCTTGAATTTGATTAGTTGTTCAATTTAGTTTTTTTTTTCATATATTTACTTACAGACAGTTAAATCAGAAGGAATATTTGCTCTATACAAAGGCTTTGTACCAACATTTGTAAGAATGGGTCCATGGAATATAATTTTTTTTGTAATTTATGAAAGATTAAAAGCAATTTAGAGTGAATTTAATTTGAATTTTCTGGAAATTGCATACATAGTAGTATGAATAGTGTTACTAGTATTGTAGAGAATTTTTCTGATTCCCCAATCAATTTTAAATAATTTCTTATAGTTTTTTAATTTAACTTTTTGTAAGATATTTGTTATCCTACATTTTGTTAAACTTTAAACTTGTATAAGCTATTTTAATAAATTAAGTTTTTATTGTTCTTTTATTTCTAGTATTTTTTTTTTTTTAACAGCATTGTAAAAATAACTTAAATATTAGACTAATTACCGAATCTTTATTGTTTTTAGTTATGTAAATATATATAGTAGATAGAATTTGATATTTCATAGAAATTGTTTAAATTAAAAAAAAAAATCTTTTATACAATAAACTTATTTATATTTTATAAATTTAATGTTATATTGAAAAATTAATGACATCATTAATAAGATCAATTTTTCTTAACTTGTACATTACAAAATTACACACATATTTTGTTTTTTTTTATCAATGGTTCTCTGAGAATAGAGATTTACCTCTATGATTAAAAATATAAAAAGATGGCACATTATGTAGTGTTTCCCAAGTTTTACTTTCTAATTCTTCAATTGCACGTACTTCTTTGAAATCACCAGCCAAATTTAAAACTCCAAACATTGATACAAAAAAGCTAATGACACCTTGAACAAAAATCTAAACCAAAAATAAAAATTTCAATAATATTAACTAATTACAAAATAAATAATAAAAAATTATATTTTATTACTGTCAATTTTCACGTAATTTTATTTTTTTTCATTAATATTTAGCTTAAAAAAAAAAAAAAATGATTGGCACTTAACATTTAATAATATAAACTTTTTATTAATTTATTAAAATTTAACACTTATTTGTAGAGTCAAATATGAAAAAAAAAGAAAAAGCATATTATTTTTCATAAATAATTTATGATCTCAAATCTTCAATTCTGTATATCTTTAATAACCAAATAAATTTATTTTTAGATAAAATATTAGTTTCTTAAATAATTATATTGTAAGGTGTAATTAAATGACAAAGTAAATTATTTAATCTAAACAGGCTGTGAATATATAATAATATATTTTTATTGACTTTTTTTAAGTAATAAATTTTATTTTCACTTGAAAATATTTATATAGACACATAGAATGACTAAGATTTTTACTTTTTAATTATGAAATAACAGCTAAGAAGGCAGTCTAAAAAGTAAGATTAAAAATGTATTGTATGTAAATATGATACACCCAAATTAAATCTATAAAAAAATCTAAATTTAAACTTATTAAAACTATTAAATAATATTAATATAATTAAATTACATCTATTGGTAAACCATCAAATTCTTGCTCAGTAATCCTTAAATAGGCTCGATCTAAAAAATAAAACAAAATTTTAATTTGTTATAATTTTCATGCATCAAAAGTATTGAATTATTTAGGTAAAATGAATACTATCTTGTAAAAAAACCATAGTATGAAAGAAAAGTTTAAAAAGTAATTACAAAATAAAATTTTTATAACCCATGTGAACTGCATTCAATACCTAATCATATCCTTTGAAATTAATAGTATTCAAAAGTTATGTTTGTCAAAATATAATTATGTCTATTTACCCTTTCATTATTTATAAATATATTATATATTTTACAAGAAAAATACATGAAAATAAAAAATATATATAATTTATTTATATAGCAGATTGAATAGATTAAATTGACTCCTATAACTTTTGATAAAATTATTATTTTGTTGTTATTTTATTTTTAACAATTTTGTATTCTTAGACTAAGTGAAAAGCATATTTATATTTTTCCAAAATATTGATTTTTTAGAGCTTTTCTAACAAAAAAAGTTGATAGGTCAATGATAATGTTAAAACAAATACTTATAAAGTTACAAGCATTTTAATACATAGAGTGAGTATTAAACTCAAACAAAGTATATGTGTACAGCAACACAAATTGTTACCCACCGCACTATTACCCACTGGATATAGAATGCTAGTAATTTCATAAGTATTAATCACAAAGTTGTTATTGACCCATTCAATTTTTTTTAAGAAAGCTCTAAAAAATGGCTATTTTTAAATTAAAAAAAAAAAATAATTTTTATTTATTAAATATTTAAATAAAACATGATTTTAACAGTCTAAGAATACAAAATTGTAAAAAATATTTACAATAAATGATAATTGTATTAAATGTCATAAGAGTTTACAGTTAGACTTGTTTCATTCTATGTATTGTATACATATTTTTAAAATTTTTAAATATTCAACAATTATATCGCATAGAAATAAAAACTTTTTATTTATATTACAAGTTTTCAAGCTCAATTATTGTAATAAAAATAAATAGTTTAATTACTAGTTGATAATTTTTTGCATGATGATAACAATCATATATTTAACTATAAATCACATCTACTACAAAGGTATAATAATATAGATAATCTAGCATACAAAATAATGCACTTTCAAGACTTTTTATTACCCTAAGAGTAATTTTAAAATATTATAAAAGCTAAATACTTATAAGGAAGTATTTAATTACATATTTTTTTATTCTATACCTTAACTTATTTTTATGTAATGTCACACACCTCTTAGAAGGTAATGAGACCATTGAATATATATAACTCTAACCTCTATTTCAAATTGATTTCAATGGATTTTATAATTCATAAATAATTTATGTTTATTTAAAATACTTACGTTGCGCTGCAGAATATGCAGCATGCAGCAGTGACAAAATACCTAATATGAAAACTTGATTATATATATTAAACATGATTTTTTAAATTAAATTTATATTGAACTAAAAGAATTATGAAAATAAATTAAAAGTGCAAAACAAAAATTGAATGATTTATAATGTAGAATGAAAGAAATTCTAGATTATTTAAATGAATAAATAAGATAACAAAATTTACACATCGTATAAATATATAGCAAATATAATCATACTTGTAGCACTATCAGTCTTATTGACTGAGTGGTATTACCCCAAAGGTAGTAATTCTATCTGGAGTTTGCAAAAAAACGGAGTAATGATGAAATGTGGTATTTTTATAATAAATGGAGACTACATTTTAATTGTCTAATATTCATTATTATAATAAATATTTACCGTTTTATATTTAAATCTATTAAACCAATTTACCTTAGCAAAAAACAAGTGATAAAATATATCCGTTAAATGATAAAGTATGTACTGGTGGGCTAAAAATCTGTTATCTTGCATAGTCGAATATTAATTTAATTTTTGGAATAATTAAATTAAGGGGACGGGTAAAACAACACACAGAGAATAAGTGCATTGTATACCTGTCCTAACTTGTTAAAAATTAATCCGTATATCATAAACGATTGCAATTGTAGTGCAACTATTTTATATATTTATAATTATTTTCTTTAATTTATAATGGATTTAAATAAAAAACGAGCACACTATTATTAATTCTGATGAAATAAATAAATATAATAATAAAATAATTCGGAAAACAAAGTTTATATAATAGATACACTATTTATGTATTTAGTTTCTAAAATTGAAATATTTCATTCTATTGTATACGAGTTATTAAGAGAGGATAGTCGTATCGTTCTCTCCAAAACAATAATATTTATACGAAGAAGATACAATATTGTTTTTTGGTTTTAGAGTAGTAAAAATCGTTTTACTTTTTGTATACCTTCCTATTGCAAACCTCAATTACACTACTCAATGTGTTAATTTTATATATACTTTGTAGAGTTATAAACTTGTAAATTTGAACGAGTTCAATTTTAGCTTCGATGCGAAGCTAAGAAGGTATTAATTGAAGTGATGAGTCGGTGGTACTCATGTAATCGATGTAAAAATGTAACGAGTAGGACCGATTACACTTGGTCGTTACACTATCGTTCCGTCGGTACAAAATACAGTTGATCCCCAAATGATGAAATTAGTGACCCGAGTACTTGATTAGTTCTTGCTTGTTCGGGATTGTGTAACTACGTCCTACAGTCAGGCACGTAGACAAGGGTGGGCCTGGCCCCCCTTAAATTTAATGTGGCCCAGAGCCGGCCCCCCCAAATTTAAAATTCAATTATTTTTACGAATTATCAAAAACGTGCTAGGCCTTATATACATTGAAATTATTATTCATTTGTGATTACTATTGAGTAATACAGTTATTATTATGGCTGTATTTTCATTTTTATATTCATAGAAAACGTTATTTGAAAAAGATAACGTTCTAGACGTAATAATAAATGGAATAGCAATTACTCCAAACGTGGTTGTAGGTAAATTTTTTTTAACTCTGGTCTAACAAATGATAACAAACTACCAAGTATCTGCATTGATTAGAATCTAGTTGATTACAAAATTCGATAGAGTATACTCTATAAAAATTTTTTGATAAATCTTATCTATAATTTGTTTCTTTTTTTATAATTTAGTAGTTACAATAGGTAATTTATTTGTTTTTGTTAATTTGTTATTTGCGTGCTCTAAATAATAGTAATTAAAATATGACTAAAAAAAGGCAGGAATTGTTTTTAATTTTAAATAAAATAAAATAAAATTTTACATTGTTTATAATTTATATTTATTTTAAAATTTTTTATAACTTAATTGTTATTAGTATTTAGGAATAAATTATTTTTTCTTAATAGCTTAAAAGTTGAAAAATTAAATCAGCTTATGTTCATATCATTATTTTATTAGCTTCGATGCAAAGCTGAGAAGGTATTATTTTTACTATGGTGTGTTTTTTTTTGTGTCTGTTACCACTTTTTCTCAGCTCTCACTGAACCCATTTCTTTCAGTAATACGTCAAAAGATCACAAATCGTATCTAGTCGAAGACATTACCCTCAAAAATTGCCATAACTTTTTTATAAAGATGTATGATATCGTTACTTTTCATTTGATATATTTTTTTTATAAATCTGACCCTTTACCTGCCCACGGGGGGGATTTAAAATGACAACTTTTTCACAAAAAATTAACTTTTTTCACTTAAATTTTTAAAATGTTCCGGAAAGTCTGACACTTTTATCTATATCTTAAATTAAAGCTAACGTAATGTACTATTTTATTTAAAAAAATTTCGGAGTTAATTTTGTCTTCACGGTGAAAATGGCTACCGAATGATATTTTTGTGTAAAAATTCTCGATTTTGTATTTTACATTTTTAACTTTATAATGCTATAACTTTTTGAAAAATGTATGGATCAGCACAATTTTTTTATGAGAAATAATATTTTTTAATAATCTCTTTTTCATTCGACATACTTTATCTTAATCAGGATATTAATAAGGAAATAGCAGATCATGTAACTTTTGGAATAATCCACCAATTTTCGAAAAATAAACACAAATTTTGAACTTGTAAGATTCATAGAATGGGATACTGTCTAAGAAGGAGTGGAGGGACCCCCCCACAATCTTTTCATGGTAAACAAATTATGGAAAATGATACAAAGGCCCAAAATTGTTGGCCCCTCCAATAAACATTTTCTGGCTACGTGCCTGCCTGCAGTAACTGTCTATTTAGTAAACCTTTGACTCTTCTACTGTGATAGAAAACTAATATTATCTCTTGGTTTTTTAATAATTAAAAAAAAAAACTATTACTAGACCATCAATTCTAAAACTGCTAATGGTATCCATGCACATTTTTAAATTAGTGATAGGCATAATCGAATTATTAGTAATCCAGAGAATCTCTTGAAATTCTACTCGAAATTAATATCGTTTATTCTTTTGATAATAGTAATCGATTATTCTTAATGATTTCGAGTATGTTTCGATTACATTAAATACATTTATAACTTATAACCAAATTATTCAATTAATTATATGTAAAGAAATATGCATAAGATGTTTTAATAATACTACGTACTAATGTATAATGTATATATACTATTATTGAAATTTAAAAAATACTAATTCAATTACAAAATTATGATTATTTTACTTATAATCTAAATATCTTGATTATGCCCATCACTAGTTAAAATGTGATTATTCATATTAAAAAATAGTCTTTGGTTTTCTTTTTTATAAGCTAAGCCCCTTTTATGGTCTCTGTTAATAGAGTGTAAAAGATACAACATGTATAAATCAGACCTGAATTTAGACTTTTGACAGCCCTGGCCAATTTTTTTGGGTACACCATTGAGAAAAAAAACTCGTCAATTTTTAACGCTGGTATGAGCACGAGGCCCTTTTGGCAAGGTGCTAATAGTTAACCATTTATATAATACTAAAAATGAAAAAAAAAAATGAAGTACAGTATTTTTGTTGTATTTTTTAATAGAGATCTTTTTTTATTAGTATTGTTTGATAGTATGAATTATTGAACTCTCTGTCATAAGTAAAATGTTTCAGTGTGTTTAAAAAAAAAATGGTATAATGATTTTGCCCCTTCTAAGTACTTTGATTTATGATAGGATTTTCAAAAAAGGATGTTGATAGTTATAAATTATTTTATTTATTATCTCTAGAAATTTTATTTTGATCCAAACATTATTCAAATAGGTAGTAGATCGATTTATTATAATCAAGAAAAATTAAATTTTGTATAGTACATTAAATAATCTATAATTTAATTTTGTTTTGATTGAGAATGCATATGTTGAGTTACTATGCAAAATACTACAAAATCGGCAAATGTTACCGGAAATTGAATGATTTTAGCTTCGATGCGAAGCTGAGAAGTTATTGGTTTTTCTATGATGTGTTTTTTTTTTTTTTTTTTAAAGTAGCTTCAATAGTAGGTTTTTTAAAAAAACCTTGTAAACTTATTGTATATCGACCTATAGAGATGTGGTAACCGATGACAAACAAGTGGCTCTGGTCCTCGCAGGCTTCCTACTAACAAGTTGACCACAAAGCAGTGGCTACTCATTTAATCTTGTGTTGGACACTTGATACTGTCGGTTGATAACCAACGTACTAAGGTTTGAAAACACTAGACTCATTGATGGAGTACTTGTGATCAGTGCAGCTCAAAAGAGCTTTTTTTAGTGGCTTTATAATCGTGTCACCTTGATAAAACCTTGGGACGGTACAAAAGTCCAATTGGAAGCCTAAAACCCAATCAAGTAAAAATGGATGGTCACTCATATACCAGGGCTGCCAATACAATCTAAGGAGATCATAAAAATTTTGGCAAAACAGAACCCAGTTGGCCCGAAAGGAAAAAGAACTGAAGCGCAGTCAATATTTTGGAATGGGCAGAGCTAGCAGAAAAGGAAGTGAAAAAATAAGCTCCTCAAAAATCTAAGAAGAAAAAGGCTGAAAAATCACTAGTGCCACTCGGAAAAGGAGGCAAGGCACAGTTAAGGAATAAATGGACGCACTTCACTGCTGCCTCGAAAGGGAAGGGAGGAAGTGGGTCACGTAAGGGAAAGGGACCCGAGATACCGCCATCCTCAATAATACACATCACGGTAAAATTAATACCTCTTCAGTTTCGCATCAAAGCTAAAAGAAATTTATAATATTTCCCTGACTAAAAAAGAAAAAAAAATTTATAATTTTAGTATAGTTTTAATGGTAAAAATATCACATTATCCGTGAGTTATCCTAGTTATATAATCGTTTAAACTAAAAATAAACTACATCACAGGACTCCCAGTAATATTTCAATACAAATTGATAGATCACACGAAAGTGAAATTTTTTCCAACTTTAAACTCAAAGTTCGAGGGAGGGCGTGAAATTTACATTAGAACGAGTGACCATCCATTTTGTATGAGTATTTCGTGGGAAATGTCGTGGTGATGTTTATTTTTTATTTAAATAAAATTTGAAGTGGGGGAACCGGAAAAACTCCAATTTTGGTGATAAGAAATTTTAGTTTTTGATTATGCTATTTTTAGGTCCTACTGAATATCACTTTACTACTCGTGACATTGATTATACAACACCTCGAATATACAAAAACAACAGTTGTTATTAGTGACGGTATGAATGACGCGAATCGCAATCGTTTCCTGTAAACATATCGGTTATACCTGATAAAATAGTCAAAACAATAATACAAATACACTATTGAAAAGTAGAGATTCTAGCAAATAACTGAACATAGGAAACGTAACGATGAATTGATAACTGAGAGAGCAATAGTCCTGTAAAAATAAATCTAACATTTTACGACCGCGGTTACCGTAATTCTGAAACAGTTGTCGACCGTGGCATTAAATGTGTTAAAAACATATTTAATTTCTTTTCAAATAATAATTGTAATGCCACCATCAATAGTAATCTGTAATTTTGTTTATCTCCATAATACCACAGACTATATGAAAATTTTCATATAGTCTGTGATAATACTTATTTTTCTTTATCTATTACAAAACTGTATAGTTTTATGAATTAAAACTTGTGATTGTGGAAAATTTTTTTTTTCACAAACTGAAATACTCCATAAATTAAGCAATTATATAATTAAATAGGCATATTTTATACTTTCCTGTAAAAATATATTTATGTATTTTACATCATTAATTAGAAAAACTCCTTACAATAATTTTAAAGTCAAAATATCTAAGTTATTTAGAAAAATGTACTCAAATATACATACACCTTTAGAAGACCAAATAGCTATTATAACTGCATCAACTGAAGGGTAAATATTAAAAGTATAAAATAAATTTAAATCATTTTAATTAATACTGTATTTTAGAATTGGTTTTGCTACTGCAAAACATTTGGTAAAAAATGGAGCTTCTGTAATGATAAGTAGTCGAAAAGAAAGTAATGTAAAAAAAGCTGTTGAAACTCTTCAAAAAGAGTTTGGAAAGACTAAAGTGCATGGCGTTGTCTGTCATGTATCCAAAAAAGAAGATAGGCAAAAACTTATTGATGAAGTAAATATTTATTTTTAAATAGTAAAATGCTATAATGCATGAAAAACTTTCTATAAATCATCTTTTACTTATTTTTTATTGACTTTTGTTAATAATGAGAGATTTGTAGACGAGATTATAGTAAGCAAGAGTTAACAAATAAAGAAATTGATTTAAAAACACCTTTTGTTCATATTTGAATAAATAATAATTTTTCAATTAAGTTGAATTTTCAGTCAACTGAATTTTTCTTGATAAATTTTTTATAATAAATTTTGCATAAAAGATAAATTATTTTTAAATTAAAAATTTTAGATTTCTTTTATAGCTTTATCATCAATATTTTTTATTTAAAATTCATTATTTTTTAATGATATGAATTTTTAAACAATTATTTATTTTCAAAACAATACACATTCTTTGCTTATATTATCTTATTTAATTAATTACATTGAAATCTTCTAAATTCTTACTATCAATAGAGATAGATAAATGATATCAAATGTTGATGAAAATACCTATAACTCAGTAACTTTAAATATTTTAAATATTGTATCTTACTAAAGGTGAAAATATCATTATATATTTTTAGTTATGTCAATTTCTTTAAAGTATTACAATAAAAATTTTTTTTAAGAATTTGACTTCAGTTTGTATTTGATTTATATTAAAATATTAATAATTTTATTTCAGACAGTAAAAAAATTTGGTGGTATTAGTATACTTGTGTCAAATGCTGCAACTAACCCTGTATCTGGCTCAGTATTGGATGTAAGATACATATATAATATTTATGTATAAAAGTTATAGATTTATTAGTATTAAAACTATGTTGTATGATCCATTCTTATGAAATTAACTTAATTAAAATAATTATCTATTTTAGTGTCCAGATGAAATATGGGACAAAATTTTTGATATTAATGTAAAAAGTGCATTTTTATTGACTAAAGAAATTGCTCCTCATATAATATCTAGAGGTGGCGGTTCAATTGTTTATGTAGCTTCAATTTCTGGTATTAATCCTATGCCGGTATTGTCATAAAAATTACATTATATAAATAAGAATTTAAACCATTTTTTTTTTTTAATAGATGCTAGGAGCGTACTCAGTTAGTAAAACAGCTCTTCTTGGTCTAACCAAAGTAGTTGCAGCAGATCTGGCCGTACATAATATACGAGTAAATTGTGTTGCCCCTGGTATCATTAAAACAAAGTTTGCATCAGCTGTAAGAATTTTTACTTAATACTTAATTTATTTTATTATTCTGTTAAAAAATATGGATAATAAATGTTACATAGTATTTGAGATATTTCTAGTAAAATATTATCAGGTCCAATTTAGAATGTCATTATTACATTTCCAAATGCATTTAATTATTCACGTAGTTCTTATTTCCATTAGTATACAGTTTATAAACTTTATATTTTAGCTAACAGACAATGAATCACTAAGTGAATACTTACTCCAAACTATGCATATGAAGCGGTAACTCATCTATCAATAGATGTTTTATGCTATATTTTAAAAATACAATTTAAATTTTAGTTTTGGTCATCCAGATGAAATTGGATCAATAGTATCATTTTTATGTTCTTCATCTGCTTCATATGTAACTGGAGAAGTTATTGTTGCTTCAGGTGGTATGACGTCTAGACTGTAATTTTGGATTTTAAGCATAGAATATATTATAAAAATGTGAAGCGAGTTCAATTTTATTTACTATTTATTCAGTAAGTAATTTTTAAATAATAATATATTGTAGGTGGCTTATAACTTTGTTAAAATCGTAGTCTGATAAACAAAAATTTGTTCTTTAGAAACTAAGATAATAATCATTGAAAAGTGTTATGTTATCAATTATGTTAATTTCTATTGTATAATTAACTTTTAATTTAATTCTTTATTTTTTTACAATTCAATAAAGCAAAATTTATATACCCTTTAATTTTGGCTGTTTATGTACAATCATTTATTAAAATGAACTGAATTTATATTCAGTTGATGATAACTATACAGTTACTTCATAATGTATAATTTTTAGTGACAATTTTATTTGAAATTGTCACCTCCAAACTTTAATTTAAAATCTCTCCAAGACAAGTAATTAAATAGTTAAAGTAAGTCTGTCCTAAAGGAGGATGTTACATCCACTACTTCAATGTAATTAATAATTTTAATCAAAATTTTTTATATAAAAAATTGTTAAAAAAAAAACTTTAAAAAACATTATATAATTAAAAAAAAATATATTGAGTCATTAAAAATCAATTTTTTACTCAGGAAATGTTTTTGGTTGCACTCCCCTTAATCGTTAAAATTCTCCAATTAGTCGTTACTTGTTCAAATTAATTTCTACAGTTGTTTCTCCCCACAAATAAAGTACAAAAAATAATGTTTCACATCACCATTACTGAGTCATATAAATAAGTGTTCAACATTGGCTATACTTTTAACCAGCAGTGTGGTGATTGGTATTCTTTTATATTTATTAATTGTTATAAACGAAAAACATTGAATTAAGCCATAGATTTATAAACTAGTTTACTGGTCTATGAAATAGGGCATACACAAAACAATTATTTTATAAATAAAAAACTTAATTAATTTTAAATTAAACTATGTTACATTATTTCCTATAGAATTATATATTATGTGTAGGGCAAGGTATTGAAGGATTAATTATTCTTCTTTTTATAGAAAATCAGGTAACTGCATTACTTTGTATAAGATTATAGAAGTGTGGTTTTTTTTATGTTTTTAGAGAAACACCAGATAGAACTTCTTAATTTGATGTATATAAAAAGTTCCTTTCTTTTTGTAAGTTTTCTAGTTTCTAAAATTTAGTATCATATTTTTGAGTACTGATCGCTTTGAATAACCCCTTTAACTGATACTATCCAAATTTTATCGAGCTGATATTCATATTTTATATTTAAAAGCCTTTTTTTTTTTTAAGAAGTTATCTTTAAAATAAAAATTTATGACTAAAAAGTGACAGACGATTAGCTAAGTACTGAGAAAGTACTGTAGCTATGATTATTAATAATTAAATTTTTTTTCAGTTTTTTTTTTTATAATTGAAATAAAGGCTGCAGCAACAAAGGGCATTGGCTATGATTACATGTATATCAACTGTATATCACAATAAACTAGCTATTTAAATAATTAGATTAGGTTAACAATAAGAGTGAATAAAAGTTGGTCACTAGCACATAAGTTTTACAGATATTATATTAAGTTAAATAGTTTGGTAGCCTTGAGGAATTTTGTCATCTTTCGTACAGAGTTAAGGTCTTTTTCAGTATTTTAATATTAGATTGATTTAAAAAAAAAATTATTTATATTCGCCCAATTTATTTAATTTGTTTTATGTAATTAGATTAATGATAAAAAAAAATCATTTTCTGTTCCAATAAACATAAGTGATTTGATTTTACGTTTACGCCTTAGTCCAACCTAGTGAATATGTTACGTTACAATAACTGCAATATAATTTTATTTTCATTATATTTAAGTTGTTGTGGAACACTAAAAGTTCTAGTCAATTTGTTTAATTTGACCTGCTTTACAATACTTCTTATAAATATATTATAAGTATACATTATTAAAAAAAAGAAAGTTAACATAATATTGACTTCATTTATGTAAAATAATTTAGTTTTAAATTCATTATATCTACCAGTCTTTGCTTTACTTATCGTATATTTAGCTTCTTTGCACAAGCTTTTATACTCCATCCAATCATCTCTCCTTTTGCTCTTCTGCCATACTTTGAATTGCTTTTTCTTACTTTCTATGATTTTTTGAACGTCCTCATCCCACTACCATGTTTTCTTCTTTCCTGGTATTCTACTCCTACTCTCACCAACAATCTCCTTTGCAGTATTTTTTACACAACTAACAAATGTATCCCATACATCATCTTCCTCAATATTCCACACCGTTCTCTCTTTTACAATCTTTAAAAACTCTTTTTCCCCTTTTAATTTGCACCACCAGATCCTTGATTTTCCTCCTTTGTTATTTCTGTTTTTGTATACTCTCTTCCCACTACACCACAACTCATAACCATCAGTCTATATTGTGTGTAGTTACACTCTCCCTGGAATAACTTTACAATTTTTTCCTTGCTTTAAACTCTCTCTCTATCTTTTACACATAAAATAATCAATATGTGTTTGACTACTCTCATTTTTATAAATTATGTAATGTTCTTCCCATTTTCTAAAATAAATATTAACCATAGCAAGATCATATGATCTTCTTTCAAAACTCATTTCCATAACTGTTCTTATAGCTTCTGATTCCTCTCTCCTCATAACATGACCAAACCATTTAAGTCTATTTAAAATACTGCAAAATCCAGGATTCTTTCTCCAGCCTCATTCTACCCACTGAAATGATATTCTCCAACCTATCACCGTATCCTTGTTACCAAGTATTCTCTACATCACCTCATCCATCTCTTTCCAAAACACTTTGTCTATTTCATTACATCTTACTTGTGATGCATAGAAACTTACTACATTCAACACATTATCTTCGAATATTAATTTTACAACTATAATTCTGTCACTTTTCCTAGCTACTTCTACTACTTTACTTTTCATCTTCTCATCCATTATAATCCCTACACCATTCTTTGTACTAAACTTACCTGAGTGTATTATTTTATAACCCTCACCTATTTCCCTTGCTGTCTCTCTCTTCGACTTAGATTCCTGCACATAACAAATATTAACTTTTCTTCTCTTCAATACTTCTACCAGTCATTGTTCCAACATTCCACGTACCTTTTCTTACTTTTTCCCTTTTACATAAGTCCAAACTAATGTTGAGTGATAATGTCTCTGCACCATTGACACAACAAGTGTTTAGTAGGCCTGTACACATAACTGTATTGAAAAAAACTTAAATTAGAATTTTAATATTTAAAAAATATGAAAAGTTATTGCTCAATAACTGTATTGGGTTATTGCACAAGTTGTCTGGCTGGTGTCAAACATTTTATTCTTTAAGTCTCCTCCATTTCTAACCACTTTATTTCCTCTTACTTATTATCTCTGTGTTCATACGAGATAAGAAAATACGCCTAAGTTCTTTTCAGGATTTCTCATACTTTTTGACAACATTTTACACTGGCTGTTGACCTAACATAATCTCATAAGGGCCCCTAGGACTGGCAGAGGAACTATGAAATTATCTCATCCCTTTCCACAGGAAATTGAATTATTAATTAATAATACTTATAAATCGTTTTATTCTTCAATATTTGTCATAGTCATATTTAAAGTGAACTATGAACCAATGAAAACTATATTCTTCAAATGAAGCCGCCCGTGACCCGTTTGAACCCGAGGTTGTGTGCGTCAAGCATTGCTGCATTACCGACTCAGCCACACCATCCCAAAATATAAATTAATATTTTTAAAACAGAAATTATGTTTGATTGAATTTGTTAGTAAACCGAAGTATTTACAAATAATAGGCAATTTTCTTTTAATAATAACCGGTATTTATCTTAATTTATGTTGGTGTGTATGACTACATTTTTAATATATTAAAGCTTTCGTGGATTTTCATATTGCTTGAAATGTTTACAGGTGTGTCCACGTTTCCAGTATGAGCTGACGTTTCGGACTCATCTTCAGAGTAATAATTTCTGGCTCTATGGTATTTAATATTTTACACTATATCTTTAGGCATAAATTTCCAATGGTCTGACTACCGTGCCTAGTAATGTATATTTAATAGGGTGGTCCTTAAAAGACAAATTTTCAAATGTATGGATTAATATAATTTTTTTTTATAGATGTATAATGTCTTTACCTACCATTTGATATATTTTTTTAATAAATCTGACCCTTTACCTGTGCACATGGGGGGATTCAAAATGACAACATTTTCACAAAAAATTAACTTTTTCAACTTAACTTTTGAAAGTGTTCTGGAAAGTCTGACACTTTGATATATATCTTAAATTAATGATAATGTGATAAACTTTACTATGAAAAAAAAAAAATTCGGACTTTATGGTGAAAATAGCTACTATATGCTTCTTTTGTGTGAAAATTCTCGATTTTATATTTTTAACTTTAGAATGCAATAACTTATTGGAAAATGTTAAATCAATACAATATTTTTATGAGAAATAATATTTATATCCCTCTTTCATTNACTAGTTTAAAATGATTATTTAATGTTTTATAATAAATTTTCAAACGTTCTATACATAATATATAAATGTATTTTTAGTTTTAGCTTCGATGCGAAGCTGAGAAAGTATTGGTTTTACTAAGATGTGTTTTTTTTTATTTTTTTTTTTTGCGTCTGTCACCACTTTTTCTCAGCTCTCACCGAACCGATTTCTTTCAATGATACGTCAAAAGATCACAAATCGTATCTAGTCGAAGACATTACCCTCAAAAATTGAAAAAAATTCCCTCGTTCCCCGTAAATGGGGGAAAACTCCAAAAAAATTACAAATTTAAAAATCGCTAATTTTCGAAATTTTTTCAATCTTTTTTACTAAAAATTGCCGTAACTTTTTCAAAAATGAACATATCAATATAATTTTTTTTTATAGATGTTTGATGTCTTTACCTATCATTTGGTATATTTTTTTTGTAAATTTGACCTTTTATCTACCCACAGTGGGGATTTAAAATGACAAATTGTTCACAAAAAATTAACTTTTGAAAGTGTTCCAGAAATACTGACATTTTTATATACATCTTAAATTAAAGCTAATGTAATATACTTAAATTTGAAAAAAAATTTTGACCTCTGGACTTGTCTTCACGGCGAAAATGGCTACTGAATGCTATTTTTGTGTCAAAATTCTCGATTTTATTTTTTACATTTTTAACTTTTTAATGATATAACTTATTGAAAAGTGTATGGATCAACACAATTTTTTTATGAGATATAATATTTTTTAATAATCCCTTTTTCATTCGACATACTTTATTTTAATCAAAATATTAATAAGGAACTAGCAGATCATGTAGCTTTTGGAATAATACACCAATTTTTTTTAAATTAAACACAATCTAAAGATTTGCATCGAAGCGTTTATTTTTGAAAGTGATTTTAATCACTGTCAGATATCATTATACTTGATCCAACTATACCACGGCACCACTGTACCGCGACCTCCCTGTGTTGGGTTATTTAAAATAACACCATTTTTCTTTAAATATTACACTTAATAATCATAAAACTTGTAATCAGTATATAAATAAGGAAATAGAAGATCATATAGATTTGGAATAATCCACCAATTTTTTAAAATTAAACACTATTACAGATTTGCATCGAAGCGTTTTTTATGATAGTGATTTTAATCACTGTCAGATATCATTATATTTGACCCAACTATGCCACATCTCCACTGTGCCGAGACCCCACTGTATTGGGTTATTTTTATTTTATATTTTTTACTGACAGTCATATTCTTTCTAAATGGAATGAATTCTTATTATAAAATAAAAAGGACTGTCAAAAACTTACCAATAATATATTACTTTGCTCTGAACGTTTTCAGCTTATAAAAATACTAGGTCTTTGTGGAAAACAGTTGTGCAACAATTTCTGTTTGTTGCATTAAAAGTGTAAGAACATTTTATTCTGTTACTTGCAAAATGTAATTACTGTTAACAATTTTTTTATATTTGATAAAATAGTAATTTCCAATATTAATGCAATACATGATAATAATAATTACTCATTTAGTATTTAAAGAACAATTTAGGTTGTGTATGCGAAATATTTTTTGTTCAATTGTCACATTTTTCATTTTCATTATTAGGCCAAATTATTATATTATCCTTAGGTAGTTCTATTAGATGCTGCACATATGATAAAACTAGTGCGAATCTATTTTGCTAAATGAAAAATTTTCATAGTTGAAGATGATAATACCATTGATTTTAATTTTATTTATGAACATTTATATTACAAGAACATGAATACTGCTATTTTGCTAATGAACTTAGAAAAATACACATATAATTTTTTTAGACAAAAAATTCAAAGTAAAACTTGCAACACAGTTACTTAGTCAGTCGGTTGCTAATGCTTTTATATTTCTAAATACTATGTTATACCAATCAGAGTAGAATGTTGTGTAATGAGTTATTTTTCCAAACAAATTTATATTGCTGGAATTTGTAGTTAATAAACTAAGTTCAATAATTAAGTGTCCTTGTATTTCTGTACTTTTCTTCTAATAAAGAAGACTTTACATTCTATTATTAGTTGAAAAAATAGGAATGGTATCAAGGTGGTTTATGTTACCCAAGTCTTGACTATAAAAATAAAGCTGTCAATATGTTATATGTGAAATAATTATGATATAAGGAAAAAACTATGCAAGTATGAACTTATAGTGGAATTACATATTGATTACATTATTTTTATCACTATGAAACATTAAATAATAATAATACAAATTGATTGCATTCACAATCCATTAATGTGTGAATGAATATATAATATTAACCAATTATTAAGATTTAAATTATGTATTAATGAATTATAATTAATTGAATTTTTACACACTACTAATCATTTACACTATTGCAAAATTGTTATATTAATGTAATTTGCAACCATATATTCGTAGAATTTTATACAAAATTTACTCAATAAATTGATTCTAATTAAATGAATATTAATAATAAATATGCATTATTTCTATCAACCATATGAATAAATGTTATTTATTTAATATTTGCTTTTAATAAAAATAATGTTGTATTTTAAAATATAATATAAAATAATTATAATAAAAATAATATAACATTTTTTTAAAACTAACTAGCGCCCTCTAACGGTGTATATTCTAATTATATCTGATTAGAAATTGCTATATAGGAATTGCTAACTTCACAGTCGTGTATTTTTCATTATCAATCAAAACTAATATCAGTTAATATGTTCTTTCTGGACAGCTATCTAGCGGTGAACACTAACATCAAAATTACTCAGAAGTGGGTTGAATGACCGCTGATTTTTCTTCACAAAATCGGCCTAACGTCGCCTCTANTACTAGATATACTAGATACTAGATATACTAGATACTAGATATACTAGACACTAGATATACTAGATACTAGATATACTAGTCTCGCTCTATATACTATTTTCGTAAGCCCCTTAAAATAAGCTCCACCTGGAAGAAATATTGCGTTTTTTCTCCTTTAAAATTCCCCTTTCTCTTTTCTCTCCGCTTCTTCGGTACCGTTCGACGACGCTTACGATCCCGCGTCTTTTCCTAACTTCGTTCGAATTTTTCGCCTTCTCCGTTTTCTTAAATTCGCGAAAAACGCTATTTCCTGGAACGGAAAACGACGCGAAATAGGGGAGCGCGCCTCCCACTCGGCCGATCGCGTTCCCGCCTTTTCGTCGTTATCACCGCGTCCGACGCCCCAAACGTGTTCGTTATCACCGAGCCGCCGTTTTGTGCGTCGTTTATTCTGTCGTTATTTCAATATAGTGTATTTACTGTATTCGTTTATTAATGTGATTTTGTAAATTTTCTACTTCTACTACTATTGCGATTATATATATATATATTAATCGAAACTCGCCGTTGGTAATTTTACACTGCGATTAACGCAGTTTATCAATTGTCGATATTGTGTGACGGTCTTTGATTTGATTCGATTTTGTAATTTTTAGATGGCGTTTGTCGTGTGCCCCGAAGGACTGCTTCGATAACGAGAGCTCTGGCTCTAACGATCTCACAAACGGAGGATTTATTAACACGGGTAACGCCTTTTTATTCGTTAAAAAACACAAAAAAAAATACTGTGCGTTTGACGTTTTCACAACCGTTGTAAGTCATATATATAATTTCAAAATCGTTTATATAATCGTCGTAACGACAGTATTAATCGATTTGATTTTATAGTTTTTAGACGGCGTTTGTTGCGTCCCGAGGTGGTATGCTTCCATAACGGCTCGGCCTGTTGGCCAAAAGTGCTGGTTCTAATGGATAACGGATTTATTACGCGGGTAATTCGTTTTTATTTGTTAAATAAAATCGGTCGGTCAGTAATTAATGTAGTTTGTTTTTTTAATGATGGTAATGGCATCGATAAATTAATTTTCATTTTGTAATTTTTAGACTCGCGTCTGTTGTGCCCGGATGAATACGTTGGAGACTTCTGGCCGTTATCGCTATTGGATTGATTTATTTATAACGATGGTAATTCATTAAAAAAAATTAATTGTCATTGACTTTTCTCAAAGTAGAGTTCATCCTTTACATTTAAATTAATTTCGATTAGCGTATGTTAATCATTAGGTCGATTTGTATTTTGTTTATAGTTGCTATATTCATGTACTACATCGGTCAATACATTCTCTCTCTCTCTCTCTCT